TTCATTAAGTATTCAGTAAAAATATTTCTATACATACTTGAAAACAATAGAAATTTTTACTACCATCAGATATCTCACTCAAAAATATTCAACAATTATTTTAACGAATTTAAATATTTTCAACTTTTTTTATTTTGATAATATCCCACAGCGGACGTCAAAAGGGCAATGATTTTTATTACCATTATTTTATGTATTTTTTATATTGGCTCTAGCATTTCATTTTATGCTCTTAAGGGAAAATTTTCTATCTTGCAATTTGGTAACTTATAACAACTATTCTTTGATCATTTCAGTTGTTACTTATGCCACTTGCCAATAACAGCAAGCCTAAAATAAAGGACATAAAAAAAATTACTAAGTCTACAACATTTTCTCAAATTAAAAATATTCTACATTGTTCTTTCTAGATATGATATAGTTACATTTTTGGAAATCCTCTCAGATAAATTATCTTTACTTTACTTTTGAACATAATTTAAAGCATTATTTCTAAAAAAAATATTTATATGCAAAGAAAATTTGCGAAAAAATGCAAAATTAATTGTATATAATCAATATAAAATAGTTTTTGAAATAGGTAAAATAATATAGTGTTATTCATGTCTATCTCATTGTTTATAATGCATTGATATTTCAAGATCAACGAATCTCCGACTTCGTTACCTGTGTTTAAGGCGATCCCCAATTTTCATAAAATTTTGGAGGTCTTAAACAGGGTGGCCACTCAAATCAGATTTCAAATTTCCCTGATTTTTCCAGGTTTTCCAGATAAAAATCTTAAAATTTCCAGGTTTTTGTTTCTTTTTTCTTATAAAGTGTAGGATATGTACAAGAAAAGTGTCGATATTATATAATATTTTATTCAAAATGTCATTTTTTTAACATATCATCTTGAAAAAAATAATTATTTTTGACAATTTGGCATGATTTTTTATTTATTTTTCAAATGTTTTGGTGTACAATTTTGAATCAAAAATCCTATATTGACCAACAAAAGAGTAAAATTAAATATTAATATATAGTTGGTTTTAAAAATTTTTTCTTCTTCATTAATATGTTATAAAAGGTTAAAATTAGCATTAATGCAACGATTTATCGACAAACATTGCTGTCAGCGATTGTAAAAAAATGTGCGATTGATTGGTTTGGTGAGAAAAAATAATTCACAGATTTCTATGAATGTGAGTAGAAAAGCTTTCAGAAAAAGAGTGCAATATAAAATCGATTATTATTAAATTATAACCAACAAATTTTTGGTGAATCTTATAAAGTTAAAAATACAAAAACATTTTGTCAAAATAGAAAAAAAAAATTACCACCAAAGCATCGGAACAAACTTGAGCCATAAATGGATTCAGCCCAAGGGCAGAATTTAAAAACAGAAGCTAATATCCAAATCCCTTTTTCCACCTCCACCAGAATCTTTCCTAAATTGCACAGTCCCATAGCGGTCAAAGGTTTCTGCATTCGTTTAGCAACCGTGAGACAATTTTATGTGGCATTCTAGTTTAACAGAGCTGTAATGGGGCAAATTTTGATGCAAACAAAGTATCGCTAAATTGATGATATTTCAACTGTTTGGCGATACATTTCCGTTTAAAAAAAGTGGGTATAATGGATAAAATAATTTAAATTAAGAAAATTAGTAAATTATTTAAATTAGTGAAACTAAAAAAAATTATAAAAGAAAAAATTTCCAGCTTTTCTTTAAAATTCCCTGATTTTTCCAGGTTTTAATCCAAATTTCCCTGATATTTCCAGGTTTTTTCCAGTATAAAAAAAATTCCCTGATAATTCCAGATTTTCCAGGTGGGTGGCCACCCTGTAAAAGTCGACTTATATATGTATTCCAATGTTCGCGTGGACAACTTGGAAAAGAAGACGCCAAAACATAGTCTCTATAGCTAATAAATACCCTCATATATTCTTTGAGTTCCAAGGTTACTTATAACACGTATTTGAAAAAATGTATCAGTATGTATTGAAAAAGATAAGCAGCTTCATATTGGATTTATAGTTTTATTTATATATACAGATTGATATATTTTATATTAAAAAATTATACTTTAATGGAATAATATGTATAATGGTATTTTCAAAAGATGTTTTAAAATTTTATTATGATATATCAACATATTTTATTTGTCAAAGCAGAATTCATAGTGGCAGGTCTCAAAGAAAAAATTAGGACAGTTTTTTTTAAACAGCTTACATATACCTGACCAAAGGGCTAATGACAACAACAACAATATATATTGCTCTACTTTAATAGAATGAAGGCAAATTTTTTTGCAAAACAATAAAATATACTATTTTTAATTTCCGAAATACTTTATTTGTAACAGGAAATTTTAAGCTTTAGTATAAAGATATTAAATTATGAGCAACTCACAATTAAAATAAAAAGATATTAGATCAAAAATTTAAATTTTTCTAATCTCAACATTGATTATTTTAAAATCTGCACTATATGAACATACACTAACAACTACAAACCATGTAATAATGAAGAGAAACAGGTTTATCTTCCTTTTAAGATTTGATTTAATGGCGGTTCATCACATTAAGATGTCTGTTTATGCCTAATTTTATATAAATTTGAGGCTCTATTCTATACATTTTTCTAGGATCTTTCTTACATTTCAGTCTAGAGCTTCTCTTTCTTTCTTTATTTTAATTTTTGTATCAACATGTTTTATTTTATGGCAGTTCATATGATTCACACATTCTACTAACAAAAAAAATCTTCACTTTTAAATAAGAAATGGGCATCAGAATCATTAAAAAGTTTCTAAATACAAATATCGATAAAATGAAATTTCATTAGGAAACACTAATTCATATTTACAAAACAAGGGTTTATTTCCTCAAACAAATTCTCTATTTTTAGCATATTCATCAGTAACTAAGTGCAACTTTACTTTAAGCACAGCAGTTAAAAAAAAAAAAAAAAGTAAATTTCAATATACACTACTACTTAGCACATGGTCAGAACTTGTGACTACTGTACATATATACAGATAAGTCTATATGGATTAAATAAGTCTATTATGGAGGATTTGCATGGTTTAGATAAAATCGACAAATTTGCACATGCCCATGTTTTACATGGGCAATCTTGTATCGCACATTATTCTATTTTTAATGCCAGTCTGAGATCCATTCTAGCAAAAATGGATAGGCTAGATTATAATTAAATTTATTTATTATAGATGACACCACTATACAGCATTTTTCTTTCGTGCATGTGGTGTATTTTGATGATTAGCTATAAGTTTGCTAGGAATTCTTTGTTATAAAGCAGTTGTTTGGTGTGGAAAAGGTAATATATCAATTTTTATTGCATTATATATAATAAAAGTAAACTGTTAACCATAAATTAATTTTTACTAAGTGTTTTTGTAACTTGTTTTGAAAAAGTTATACGATAATGAGTGACTCTGACGATTTTGAATATGCCAATTTATCAGAAAGTTTCAGCAATGATCTCTTGAGTTGATTTAATTTGAAATTCAAAATAAACCTGTAATCAAATTGTTTAAACTTAGTTTGTACAGTAATTTTTTTTTAAACTTTTACACCAACCTCTACTATCTAGTTATCCCTGCAAGTGGAATTGCAAAAAATAACTTACATTATGTCTACATATGAATTCTTTACAAAAAAAAAAATTTTTTTTACCATTTTTTCCAAAAAAAAAAAAACTCGTACTTTAAGAGGTTAAAATGATTTAGTTGTTAGGCTAATATTCAATGTTTATAATTATATTAAAAATTTAAAGAATTAAAAACTTTGGTTTTGATAAATATTCTTATGTCTTCTAAAGCTATAAAATTGCTTTTTATTTTTATTGGTTAAAATGCATTTTTCTAGGAAATCTTTACATTGAGATATTTTTATTTGCATAAACACATTTATAAACAGATATTCCTGTATAACAGCGAAAAACTGTTTAACAACACAAATATATATATAAAAAAAATAATAAGTTTAAAATTTAGAAACTTTTATTTATTGTAAGAGTTTTAAAAGCTAACTTATGGTTTACTAAACTATTTGTTTTAAACCAATAGACAGTAGGTTCTTTTTATGAACAAATTAAATAAATAGAAGACTATTAATTGGACTTAAATATGCAGTTGTTGCCAGATATATTACCTAAATAAATTTCTGAAATTAAAAAAATAAATACTGTAATTTGGGATACTGGAATTTAATTATTTAAGCATGGTTCACTTTCCTAATGTGATATGTAATAATCAGCATGAAAAATAAGAACAAAAAACATATTTAACATACCACATAATTATGTCATAATTATTTATATATATCTTCAAATTTTTATTAAATGAATATTGAGGTATTTCAGATAAATGTAGGCAAAAAAAAAAAAAAAAAAAAAAAAAAAAAANGAAGATATGTGGACAATAAAAAAAAAAAAAAATTAAATAAAAATAATATTTTTCAAATAAGAAAAATTAATTTTACATCATTTGATTAAAAATAATTTTATGTGAATTATAGAGTTTGCCAGGTTAAAATATTTATATAAATGTTTATAATAAATTTGGTTACAACATAACAATATTTTAACCATAATAGAAATGCATAATAATATAAAATTTCCTAGGATATTGTTAAATTATATTATTAAAAAGGATAATTTTTCTTTTAGTTTAAAATATTAAACTTATTATTCCTGAGTGATATGTACTATTTAAATTTTAAATGCTTAGTAATATTTTAATAGGTTAAAAATATTAAGATACTTCATTTTTGATACAAAAATTGTTTAAAAAGGCAGTTTTTATGGCTTTTACAGTTAACTGTTGCAACAAATACTTTCAGCAACAACCATTTTGTAGCATCAAAAATAGCTTACTAATAAAATACATTTTTGATATTATTTTAATATAAATGCAAACAATAATTACTAATTTAAAATTCATTTACGAATAAAATAAAAGTTTTCTTCATTGGTATTTTTTACCAAATAGTTTATTTAAAACATTTTGCTTAAAAAAAAGGAATGTATTATATTTTTAAAGACTTTTTAAAAATCACAATTTTTTTAAATAAACAGATAGTTAACAGTTAGGAATTAGAGATCTCTTTTTAATTTCTTGATGTGAACTAACAGCTGAGTACCATTTTACAACATAAAAACTCTCATTTGTTCCTGCTAAAATAATTGGAGATTCTACACTATATACAATATCCAAAGATGTAATAGACGCTTCACTTAGTCTAAGAATAAAAGATGGATTTGACAAGTTCAGTTTCAGGAGATGTTTTGTTTCCGGAATATAAAAAACATATATTTTACCATTTTCTCCACCAAGCACTAAAAGCGTTCCTCTCAGAGCTACACTAATTATTAGTGTTTGCAAAGTTCTCATTAAATAATACTGGTTATTGAATTTATCATCCACTGAAATAACCATTCTGCCATCACCTAAAATAAAAGAATTCATTCATCTGGTAAATAAGGATTACACTATTTTTTTTTTTTTTTAAAAAAAAAGAGTCTATGATTACAAAGGCAAAGGAAGACTGCTATAGTTTGATTATTATCAATAATCAAATCAAAAGATTGAAACATGAGTTTAAAGGACTTATACAAGATTTTCTATACTAGATTAAATATAAATAGTATGTGCTGTAAACATGTTGATCAACTGTGTACCAAACAAAGTCTGACACAAAAAATAAATAAATAAAAACTAAACAATCAGTGTGGTCTGTAGGTTGCTTGGCAGGTGTGTTGCAGGACCTTTTCTTTATTTACAAATGGCAGATTGTTTGAAATGAAATGAAATAAAAGATATATTATTTACCGTGCAAATTTATTGCAATTTTTATAAGATCATAAGCTTAAAATTTATACAATCAATAAAGAAATTAAAAATACTACATTTCACTATAATATCCTCCATTTCTCTAATAAATTGTTTTAATAGTTATTTCTTTTATTGCAATTTTTATAAGATCATAAGCTTAAAATTTATACAATCAATAAAGAAATTAAAAATACTACATTTCACTATAATATCCTCCATTTCTCTAATAAATTGTTTTAATAGTTATTTCTTAAAAGTATTCAACAGATTTTTTGTTAATTTTAGGTTTCCAAGAAGAGTAGAGACACAAGAAAAAAGTTCACTAAACTTGAGATAAAAATTTCCCTAACAAAAACATTATCTTTAGCAATTTACCTTAGCCTTTACTATATTTTGAAATTAATTATTTATGAAAATTTAATACATTTTCTTATTAATTTTTTCAGTGGTTTATCTTAATTTTAATTACAAGACTTTCAAGAAAAAGTTTCTTACTTGTAAACATGATAGCAGTTTGATTTCGGAAAATAAATGATTTTGTCACAGTTACTAATTTATGACTAGTTGCATTAACATAAGTATTTTTCAAACATGCTAATTCTGACCATTCATCTCTTTTTCTGTCATAGGCTCTCACTTTTCCACTGTAAGATATGCACTGAATCTGAAAAAGTATTGCTGACAATGTATACCTTCTTTTTTTAAATATTATATAAGGAAAGAGAAAACAGACAAGGAAATAATAAAACAAGCATTCAAAAATAAACTGCTAACAAAGTATAATTTGTTTTTTATGCTCTAGAATGAAAAATATCCCCTAAAAAAAGTATACAAAAGCAAAAATTGCTTTTCATAAGATTTCTAAATATTAACTAAGCGATTAAGAAAAAGGTAAAAGGCTATTAAAGTATATATATTTTTTAATGTGATGATCTCATAATATTGAAAATATGCCACTGCATCTTCTGTGGTAGGTAGATCCCAAATGTTGATTATATTTTCAGCAAATAAAAAAAAAGAGCTTCAATAAGCATCCAAACCAAATCAAAAATAAAGTAACTGAGTGGATTAAACTTGAAAAATACTGCTATTGTAAGACAGGATAATATAATATTGGTGCCCAGGTGATGTTTAAATTTTTTTACAACTACCTCAAATCTGTTAATTGTCTAGCATTTTAAGCAAATCAGCACAAAATTTGTTCTTTACTTAAGAAGTATTGAAACTCTGGTGGTGTTGTTGTTCTAATGCCGCTTGCCAATACCAGCAAGCCTGCTTGGTGAAACCAAGCGAATCTAAGGCAGTGGCATCCTTTATTTCTTGTTTCTCAGTGGCGCCATTTATGGCCAAGAATATGACTTCAGCCACACACACTTCATATTACGTTTATAGGGTGGACCCATTTATCCATAAATCATAATTTTGACCTAAACCAAAGAACGATCAATCTCTAATTCAGTATCCTCTGAGGTATTGATTTGTTATCCGAAAGTGGATGACTTTATGACTTGAAAGATTGAACGTGCACCAGTCACCGTTTACTACACGGGAAGTCTTTGGCTGGCGGGAATCGAACTGACGACCTCTCGATCATGGGGTCAACGGTCTACCAACCAGGCTATACTGGCCCTTTTTGTAACTCTAAGTAAAAACATATATAAGAACAAGTTTCTTGAACTCAAGAAAGGTACTGATATGCGATGAATTGACGATCTCATAAAAGAACAATTTAGTTTTACAGATTTATTTTTAAAGCAATTAAAAAAAACGCAATGGAAGGAGGTAGTGAAATTTTTTTCTGACTTAGAAACAATGTTTCAAGATTTTCAAAAAATTTTGTTTTCAAAATAATTTTTCATTTTCAAAAATTAAGAAATTTCAACCGAATTGACTTCTCTTTAAAGAAGACTCTTTCTTTCTAAATTACTTCAATCAATAATATAATGACAATCAATTTTTGGACAATTTTATATAATAAAAGTTTAATTTTTTTTTTCATGTGTAAGAAAAGCATATAAAACAGTAACATGTTTATATGCAATCCTAATTTCCTAATGTCAAATGGAAATTTTTTAAACATAAATCTGTAGAAAAATATAATATGTATATTTTGATACTTGACTTTAAAACAATTGTTTTAACAAATGCTAAAATTAGATATCTTATGAACTCGTATAGTTCATTCTCGATATAAAATAGGTATAAATATTAATTTAAACGTTGGTGCTTATCTAGTTTAAAAAAAAAAATATTTAAATTTCATTTGAGAAAGCAAGATGACCAAAATGTATATAAAACTGGATATTATCCTTTCCTACACTGCATTTATAAGATGTAAATATTTATGAGAATACTTTATGCAAAAGTAATTTTAATAAGTATTAGAAGCATGCTTAAACACAGAAAAAAAAAATCTTTTTACCATAAATTACACTAAAAATGTACTATTTAAGAATAACTCTAAGTTTAAACAGTTTTATAAAAGTTAGTTACAAAGAAATTAACTACTTACTTGGTCAAACCACAGTCCTAAGTTAAGTAAGATATCTGGTGGACCAATAATTCTATATAATAGTGTTGTATGTAAGTGAAAGAAAGGTTTTCTATTTAGTTTCATTCCCCAGACAGAAACTGTATTATCAGATGAGCTTACAGCAAATGTAGAATCAAATACTCTAAAACATGCAGCTAAATTAGTTACCTAAACATCACATAAAACTAGTTACATAAATAATTCTATACCAATAATTTTACACCAAAATGTTTTATGCCTGGCAGCAGAAAACCTTCAGCATGGCAGTGGACATTGCAGATTATCACACCATGAGCAGATAATTTTTTCTTATCTCAGATTTCAAATAAATAAATAATAAAAAAGTGCTACTAAGACAATGTCCAAGCATTTTTTTAAAAATTTGCTGAATAAGTTAAAAAAAAGAAAAAGAATAAAGATTATTCTTTTGTATCCTCATGAATAAATGATGAGGAATCATTTCTCCCCCTTTTGAAATCTAATACCTAAAACTTTTCATTGCAATTCTCTCTCTCCACCATAAGTAATTTAAATTTTAAAGTATAGAAAAAGTGAATTCAGACAAACCTATCAAATACTGAAGAAAAAAAAAGTTTCAAAATTGAAAACAAGTTATGTAAGGAAAACTTAGGATTATGCAATGGGGAAGTTTTCTTCAATAATTTATTTCTATTTTAATATTTCAGCAATATAAACTTTATCACTTATTCTAGGTTTGCCAGAACTAACTTTTTCTTTGTGTTTAATTTTAAATTTGTCAGGTATTTGAAACAGAATTTGTGATTAAAATTTTCTCCTCTAGTATAGTGTGCTTTTAAGTTAGAGGGAAAAGTTTAAACTATGTATTTTGGTACAATTTTATTCACTAAAATATATTTAAAGGAGTAAAACATATTTAAAATAGTAGTAAAAACACTAAATATTTTTTTTTTCTTCAAAAAAATTTTATTTTTATTCCCATTTTAACATGCTACACTTCTTCCAATTTTGAATCTAAAATAATATCTGATATTCCGGTTTGATTTCAAATTTAAAACAGTGTAATTTTGTATTTAAAAGTTTTAACAACGGATTTATTTAATTTTTCTAAATATTATTATGTAAGTTTCAAATTTGATGTCGAAAAGCAAAAAATTTGTGTAGATTTTTCTGTTCTATGTTTGTGTGTGCAAATTTTACAACATGTATGTTTGAGTAGGCCAAAGTTTTCCAAAATTTTTTCTGAAATATTGGAAATTAAGTGTTTGAAATGTTCTGAAAGAATCTGGAAGATTGTATCTTAGAAACATTTATTGTATAAATTTTGAGCTTAATATAAATTTTTCCCCTCTGATTATTTAAGCTTTAACTATAGTTTTATTCCATCTTTCTTTTAAACATTATAAGTTTCAAATTAAATTTAAATATACAATTCTTGTATTTATTTTTTATTAAACTATTTGTAAATTCAAATCTAATAATTTTTACATTATTATTTTTTACATTATTAGTCTCTACTTGATTGTGTTTGAGTTACGGACAAATTTCGGTCAATGAAGATGGTGTTGCAGATTGGTTCAGAAAATGCATGCAAGTGCAAATAAGGTTTTCTTTTTTATTTAGTTTTGTCCCCCCAGACAGAAATCGTATTTTCAGATAAGTTTGCAATAAATGTAGAATCATATACTCTAAAACACGTAGAAAAATTAGTTATCTAAACATAACATGAAATTAGTCATATAAAAAAATTTGACAAGCAGCATCAGAGATTCAAAATAGCTTTTCTCGATTATTATTGCTATAAATTACTTGATATTTATTTCATAAGATTAAAAATTATCAGTTTCAGTAAGTTATTATGAGTAGATGCAAATTTGCTTCGTAGTATGAACAGGGAGTGGGAATTGTCAAGAAATTCTGTTGACACTAAATGTTGCTTGATGATAAAACTTCCATCCCCTCAAAAATATCAGGGGAGCCCAACTCAAAAATCCTGAAAATTTCATGAGTAAAATCATTAATGACAAATTTCAAAAAATTAGTGTCTTTATAAATTTAAATCATTAATATTTTCAAAACATGGAAAGCCAAATAAATTATATGCCGCATAATTTAAATGAATAATTACGTATAAGTTTACTTTTATCTCTAATCATATTTAATATTCTGCCAGAAAAAATATTCACAAATGAAAGAGATGCAAAGTATTAATTCTAGTTCTAATATTTTTAAATAAAATATACAAGAATTTTTATTTATAAATGTGATCCATGATTTCCTGAAACTTCTGGACCTTAGATTTCTGGAAACTTCCGGATCACGGTTAGCAAAAAATCCGGAAATCTGGGTTTTTCCAGAGCACAATCATCTCTGAAATATACAAAATGGAAATTATAATCAACATGCTTCGTGTGCTCAAAAATAGACACCCATTTTCAAGGCTTGCTAGACTTGAATGAGAAGAAACAAAAGTGATTTGAATAGAAAACACAAAGTTAAATAGTTACTAAATATTGCCATTTGTTTGTATCATGTCATAAAATTTGCTATTCTACTGATGTAGATCATGTTGCACATCACATTGTCATGATTTAAAAAATAAATAATAGAGAGTCCAGCAAAATAAGCAATCAATTAGGCAATAAAACTAGCTAAAAACTTGAACCGGCAACCTACATTTAATCACCAATAGTAACAAATTTATTCAACTTGTTTTCAAGTTTAATCAGTATTAAAAATATTACGTAGTTACATTATCAATTCTAAAATGATACTTTACTTAGAAAAATATGAAATTCAGATAGTAAAAGAAATACCTGATTGCAGTCAAATCTGCACCATGGTAGTTTAGGTGATTTATTTTATCAGTTGAAATTCTCTCTAACAAAGATATTACTTGAATATATGTGTCTTTGGAAATAGTAATTGCATGGTGGTGATCCCATGGGAGATCATCAGATCCATAATAAGAGCCTGAAAGTGAAATAAAGTAATTAATAATTTTAAATAAAACTGATAAATTTAATAAAGCTATAAATTAATTAAAATTTTATATTAAAGTTAAATAAAGTTAACTATAAATAGAAAACTTATAAAATGGTGGTAAAAATAAACAAATGAATTAAAAGTCAAGCTAATTCGTTCATAAAAATGATTAAATGTTTTGGACCTTACATAGTGTTAAATATTGAAGTAAATTACAAAGCTACATACACAATTTGTGCAACTGAATTTTTTTTAATAGCATTATATATTGCTGTTCCATGCAAAATAAATAGCAAAAATAAAGTTATAATTTTGATAAATGATGCTAGAGAAAATATGAATTGAATTATAAAGGTACAATTTTTTTTAAAAAAACTAATGTTAATTATACAAAATTAATGCTATGATTTATTTTTAAAAAGTAATATAACTTTTACTTGCCCAGATTGATGAGATCAATCAATGCTATATCAACAATTGCTTTCAAATGACAAAGACATCTTTGCCATAACTCTCCTGTTTGTTGATTCCAAATACATAGATGACCGCTACTATGTCCAGTTATTATCCAAGACCCTAAGAAAATTAAAACAGGCTAATTTGTGTGTATTCTCTAAGGCACCAGATAGTTTTTTTCAGAGGTGGTAATGATTGCCAAAAGCTATATACTTTGGTAAGTGAAGCTATTCTTTGAGTTAAATATTTTAAAATAAAACAACTTTATAAAAATAGAGATAAACACATTTTGCAAGATGTTCTTAAAAATTTCAAAATCAACACTAAATATACATTGAGGATTAACAAAAACCAATTAGGTTCAACTCTAAAAATGTACACATATACAGTAAAACCTCTTTGGGAGTGACCATTCTCTGTTCCACAGTAAATTGGTCGTCGATGGAGATTCTTTCTTAAAAATTGTTACCAAAGATGCAAGAATTTTTTAGTAGATACTGATAGAATAAACACTAGAAATAGATGAAAAAAAATCAAAGCTTTACTTGCTTTAATTAGTAATGAATACATTACTTTGCTCTAAAAATTCATAAGTTTAATTAGTACCATTGATTAATTAAAAGTTGAATGAAGAATAAAACTAATAAAAATGAATTTACCTGATAATTTAAGACATGTGATAGAGGATTGATTTTTAGGAGAAGTCTGAATACTTTTAAATGTATAAGGAGCTTTCATCACCATTCTACTTCTGTACCACTTTTTATAGAGCAAAGACCAATTCAAAAATGCATCATCATGAGGAACAGTCTTGAAAAACAGTATTTCTGCAGTAATATAATAGGGGATTTCCTGCAGACAAAATTGCTTCCATATTTTTCTTTTTGACTGCATTTCTTTTATTATTGCACTCCATGATTTACACACTTCTTTAACTTTAGAAAAAGATTTTCCGTCCAAGAAACAAAAGATATGCTCTAAACTTTCAGCAGGAAGTTGCATAACAGCCATACTAAAAAAAAAAAAAAAAAAAAAAAAAAAAAAAAAAAAAAAAAAAAAAAAAAAAAAAANAGAACAATTTGAGATATAATATAAAAATTCATAAAGGGAAAGAGTTCTATAACCTACACCTAAAGTAATCACTAAGATTTGGCATCTTCAGTTCAGTGGCACAATTGAAACTTATAAAAAAAAAAAAAAAAAAAAAATCAGAGAAAGCACCCAACTCAAAGGGTAACTTGCAGCCCCTCACTGGTAAATATCTATATATTTTTGAAAATTACAAAGCCTTTTGGCGTTCTGAAGCTTGGTGCGAACAGGTACCGTTATAGAAATATCCCTCTAAAACTAGATAGATATTTTAAAACTAAGCTTTTTTTCTTTTAATTAAAAATAAATAAAACTGATATGTTAATAAGAAATTTTTGAATGACATTTCACTCATAAGTATAAAATGTATAGATGAATAGAAAACTTGACAACTCATTCAATTATGAATGCATTTTCGATTTAACAAAAGCTGTTCAAATTTTAAGTAATCTATGGATTTCGTGGACTCATTTTTATTGCCAAGGATGAAAGTTGACTGTAAGTAGTGCTTACAATCTCAAATACTCTTTGTCAGAAAAAAATAGCAAAAAAGTTTGCATTTTTAGAAAATTATACATTTAAAAAAAAAGAAATGAAACAAGTAAAGGAGAATTGAGTTTAGAATTTGCTTATTTTTGCTGAAACGAAAGGAGGAGGTTTTACATCACAAATACTTTTATGTATACTTAAAATTTTATTCATACTATCCTGATTATTAGTCTGACACTAATCAGAATCAGTGATGCTTTCATTACATCAAATTTACAATAATTTATATTACAAGGCAATGAAGTGAGCCTCAACTAGCTGGTTTTGTAAAAGCATTGTCGTACAGACCAACCACAATTTTTGGAAAGTAATTCAGAGATGTTCAAATTTAACCAGGTGAGCACACTTGCACTTCTATTTTTATCACTTTCTACAGTATTTTTTCTCTTATAATTACTAATTAAACGTAAGTTTTTTATACAAAAAATATTAATTTAAAAGATAGTTTACGTATTTTGATTAAGTAAAATTTAAGTAGTAGAATTTAAATATTTTTCTTCTGTACAAAATATCATTTAATTTTATACAAGTTTTACAAATATAAAACTTTAACCATTGTTAATATTTATTTGCAAAATATTTTCAGTATCCTAAGAGTTAAGTTATTGCAGATAAAAACTAACTTACTTAAATTTAATTTGATTCAAATCATAAGTAGGAGTCGATCCAGAGGTAAATCAGAGCCATTTAGGGGCCCTTCACAAATAATAATCTAATTTTAAAATCTTATATCATGAATCGTAATCACATGATTATAAAAATCAATTATCGCATTTCGTATTTACCCATATCTTTGAATCCTGATTCATATTTTGGTGTAGATAAAAAAAAGTCCATTTGAAGGTCCAAACGGAGATATTTCCGTATCGTGACCTGATCCCAAGAATAGGAATAGATTTTAAAGTTGCATTTAAAAAAAAAAAACATGTAGATGTTTGCCCGGGGGTGGTTACAAGTTATACCTTTCGAGTTGGTCCCTTTCTGTGATGTTTATTTTAGTTTCTCGCGGACCACTGCCCGAAAGTTTCCAAGACTTGGCGATTATTCTGCCACAGATCACGCTACGGAAATCTCCCTGTCCAAACGAATCAATATGAAAAACCTATTGTAATAATAGCTACTTCTACAACAGTGAACACCATGAATAAAATACGTCTTCTTGTTATGTATATATGTAAAAAAAACATTAACTACAATACTTAAGTACGAAAAAAAAAAAGGTAGCATGAGAAGCTGAAGTTTTTTTTTATGGAAGGTTACACATGATCCCAATTTTAAATATATTCCTTTAAGTTTCTTGTTGCTTAAATATTAATTTAAAATTAAATACATCATTAAGACCAAAGCATTAAATGGGGATCAACAACAAACTAAGAAATATTTCTAGAAACATACAGATTTAGAAAAATTTTTCATTGAAATTAAATGGTTTAAATAAATAGCCATATAGGTTTTGGAAAAAATAATAAACATATGATTACATATTCAGTTAAAGAAATTTTCATTACATATTTTAACAAAATAAATACAAAATTTGATAAATTTTTAAAAAAAATACGGTTTTAATTTTATCATTAGAACGTTTTCAATAACAGTTTATGTTGGATATTTAGACAAGTTCGCAAAAATATTTCAGTTTTAGTTATATAAGTAAATGCAGAAAATCTTACATGATGAACAATTTAAATTACACTGAGGTAGAAAATTATGGTACCTTCAAATAATAAATTTTAACTCATTTAAATGCTTTTAGGATTTATTTTTTAGCATCTGTTTCCAGTTATTGAATATTAAAAATGATAAGTGCATAAAGTTTATATATTGAATCTTTTGAACTTTAAAGTTTGTCCATTTGCTGGTATGTATTAGAACTTTTCGATATTTACGAACGTATTTTTTGGTGTAGTTTAATGAGCCAGTTTTTTGGAAAACTTATTATGTTTACAAACACTGAAATTTCCGTTGCCATTTGAATACAAAAAAAACTACTGCTAGGGTATCTGATCAATTTGATTGGTTGTTAGATAATTATCTTGTAACCTTATGTAATAACTTCAACTTCACCAAACATATGTTGATATTTATATACTTTTTATTATTATTCTTTGTTTTTGATCTGCGTCTTGTCTATTGTTGTTGCAAAGTCTATGAATTGGATAGAGTATTCATGTCTACTTCAATTTAAATAACAATGAAGTTTGAAATGATGAAAATACTCGATTCATTAAGTAAACGAGTTTTGCGGGTCATAATAAAAAAATATTTTGGTGAATACTTTGAAGATTTTTCTCAACATGATTTGAATATAAGGTTCCTTGAAGGCAAAGGATCCTTGGAGAATGTCCGTCTGATAGTTCAAGTAATGTGCACATTGAAATAACTTTTATCCAGTTTAAAAATAATATAATGTTCTTAATTCATCGCATTTATTTTTGGAATAATTTTCAATTTAGACGTATATTTGTATCGAAACGGAGAACATAAACAGTTCAGTTGGTGAAAATTTACTATAGGGTGTTCTCATATTTTGACAATTTTTTATGTTTTTGCAGAATGCAGACAAAATTACTAAAACGTGTGATTTAATAGATAGTAATTCCTCCAGACTTTTAAAAGTATGGGTCCTTGGAACCCAGAACTTCTAACTTTCTAGGTCCTTTTTTGCCTCAAGTGGGTTCCTGTTTAAAACAATAATCTCTTTTTTTAAAGATTTTCATGAAAAGTAAATATTTTATGAGAGTAAGAAATAATAATTCAATTAGCAATAATTTGACTAAGAATTAAAACCAAAATTTTCATGCCACTTGTCTTATAAAGTTAAAATTCTGGTGATATTTTCTAAACCTAATATGAGATGCATTCTTCTTTTTCATGTTCATGCACATGATTATATATGCATGCACATGGTTCATGCACATATTTATATATTTGCTCTTTTAAAATAGCACTTTGCTAAGGTATAGATTAAACCATCACCAATTTTTTTTGTGAGGTGATATTTTCAAATAGATAATTTTCTTTTCGACATAGGCATAGCATGAGGGGGGCACACTTTTTGTTTTTAAGAAACTGTTCGTGTTTGTAAAAGTTTTAAACATGCATTTATACATAAATAGACATACCTAAAAGAAAATATATGCTTATATATGCATAAAACTTATAATAAATGGAGCAGTTTTCTAAAATTAGAAAGTGTACCCACCTCACATTACCCCTATGATTTTCAGTTTAATAAATGAATATAATTTCTGAGTTTTGAGCAGACAATAAATTTTTCATTTCATCCATTTATTATGCTTATTTATAGCTTTCTATTTATTGATAAACAGTTTAAAGATCTTTAAAATAAGAAAGATGTTATGGTTTTCGAAATCAAAGCTGATCAATTACAGTTGATCAAACAATTGCACTAAAAGAAGGCACCCTTGTAATTTAATTTTTTTCCTTTATTGTTATAGAAAAAATAATGCTTTGTTTATTAAATTTTTTAAAAATATATCTTGGTTTGATTATGCTAATGGCAAAATTAACATTCATTAATCTAATTCTGTCTTCCCCCCATAACCTGCATGAAAACTTCCCCGTCTTAGGGGAAGTGCCATAAGTTTTTTTCTGGCTCCTGTCTGTTATTTCTGACTTATTTGACATGCTATAGCATTTAAGCAGATTCACTGATCAGAAATTGCAATATAAATAATAGGAAAATCGAAAAATTATATAAAAATATCAACACAAAAGTATGGATTTATCGTTTTCTTAAGGGATACAAAAATAAAATTTTAAGAAAAAAGATTTTGTGAAGCTACTGTTTTTCCTAAAGTTGAATATGTGTTTGGCCAATTGTTCTGAATATTTGGCTTGGACAGACCCCTGAAAATGGAAGATTTTCAATACAATACAAGCTCCAAGTTGCAGTATTTAATCCAATGGCATCCAATTCTACACTGTAACCTTATCAGTAAATATTAAAATCTAACATTATAAAAATTCCACTATATTTATCAGGATTTTACAAAGTACTACATAATATATTATTTATCTATCAAAAATTATAAATAATCTATCTAAAAAAATGTTGAGTTTCATTGTTTGCCTATATTGATCCAAGCAAAGCACAATTCTATTAATTACAGAGTTACTAATAAATTGTTTAATTCATACGATTAATTTATAATTTTTTATTTTAGGCATTAAATGAACTAAGTGCTGAATACAACTTACCCTTTGAGTTCCTTCAAGGAACCATAGATTTAATTGAAATTGATCTCCCAACAAGGCTAAAATTTTTAGCATTAAATACAATCATTGATATTAAAGGCTTGAAATTGGTTGTACAGCCAAAAGAACGACCTGAAGATGGTAATTATTTTGTTATCTCTTATAAATTAAGGAAATATTAAAAAAAATATTAATTTTCTGGAAATATTTGTTATTTGGTAAATATTTGAAATAAGTATTAAAATTTGCTTACTTCTAAATCTTCATTTAATGAACACACATGACACCTACTTGCTAGTCCTATTTTGTTGTCATACTGAAATGATGAGTGCATATTTACTGTTATTAAAATATATTATTTATCTACGTGTATATTAAAGAAGAACTTTAATTGTCTCAGACATCAATTTGGATTTCATTGATTTTGTAACGTCAAAAACATAAACTTCCCACAGATTTAAGAATCAAACTTTTACCTTTTAGAATCCTGGTTGGCGATTTTGGGTAGTATATACATGGATATTACTGTCTTAAACTATCATAAATTGTCTAAAAGTGTCCAAAATTTTGAATTATAATATATGAAAATTTTCTTTGCAATCATATACTCATAATTCGACACAGCAATTCTTGTTGCTTTTTATTTACAATTTATGTTAACTTTTTGACTGAACAAGCAATAAAATGTAATAGAATTTTTTTAACAGGATTCTAGGATTCATCAAACTGAGATATTGATTTTTTTTACCCTTTTAATTTATATATATATATATATTAAGAAATTATTATTCATTAAATAAACATATTGATTTTTTTATTTTAAAAACTTATACTATATCGTTGGATAATATTTTAATATTTTTTTTATACTTGTGAAAAGTTGCATATTTTTAAGAATCAAATAATATCAATATTAATTTAATAAAAAACAACATAAAAATTTGTGTGATGCAGAAATATATTACCCATTATAAGGTGTATTTTTATTACAAATCACAAGATGTTTGAATTTACAGAAATTTTATAATTAAATTTTAATGCTGCAAATTTAATTAGAAAATGAAAATAATTAAGGTAAAATTAATAAAGATACAATTAACTAAGATACAATTTTGATTATTAAATGATTATGATTATATTAAAAAAAATATGTATTAAGCAATACTTTTAGTTTTCCTATATTTAACAAAAAAAAAAAATTATATTTTTTAAAATTGTTATTTCTATTCCTAGTAACAACATCTAAAAAAAAAAATCCATGTATTCTATCCCAGATTTAAAATGCTTTAAGTATTATTGAGATTAGATTTAATTTTGTTAGGATTTCAATTAGGTAGGATGATGGAACTAAAAGTGCAGTGCCTTTATCTATATGATATTCATTAGTGAATTTAATATGTTGGCATAAATCACTGTAACTAAAAATATGGGTAAAAATCTAAATAAATGCAACAATGGTGTCACGAAAAAGAAGCTTAAGGTATATTAGCCACTAGACATTAATAATGTATTAGAGAGACTGTAATTAGAGTTGATTAATTTAGTTCTTGTGCACTTATTAAAAGGAAAGAAAAAAATAGTTTGCTTATAGTTCATACACAGCCTATATAATTATGTGTTATATATTAAATAAAAATTTAAATTTTTACAATGCTAGTATATTTTTAATAACTGTCAGTGTGTAGTCTAATGGCAGTAATGAATTGAATAATAATATAAAAGATTTTAACATAGGAATTGATGTTTATCATAGAAAAATTCCATAATCATAAGATGATTTATATTTGTGTTATTGGACTTTTAATTGTGAGCATACAACAATTTTGTTCTATAGAATGGACAATAGACATTTTCTTTTTGCATTTAAAGATTTAATGAAAACAACTTTTAATTCAATGAAAAAATATTGATCAGCTGGTATTTGATATGAATGTTGGCTATAATGTTGAAAATTAAATTAATAAATAATTATAAGTTGTTGAGTTAATATTATTCACTATATAGTTAATAAATAATTAAATTATGATATTGAGTGCAGGATTATTGGAGTAGGAGACAAATTCTTTTTGTGTAGTTTTTACTTCCTTATGGGCCATTCTGGTAATCCACAATCTAAAAAATATGGTTCTAATAGTTTGAATTTTTTTTTTTATCTTGCTTAAAATATTCCAGAGATGGTGAAATATGCAGAAATTGAATTTAAGGGGCCCAAATATCGGACTGCTCTTCCCGTCTAAACTATCGAGACCATATTTTCCAGATTTTAGTGACCTCCCTTATTTTGGGAAGACTTTTATATAATTTTGTCCATTACCGAAGACCTTTCTCTTCTTTGATTGATTGTTGACTTTCTCCTTTCACAAAAATTGTGCATTTTTATATGAAAACTTTGATATGAAAATAGCAAATGAGTATAAAATAGTTCACAACTTTCCAAAATGATAATAAGGAAATAAAAAAATATCCTGATTATCTTGAAAAAATTTAATTTAAGTTTTGACCAATTTAAAAAATCAATGTCTTTTTTTTCTCAATTGATAATATTACTTACTGTTATTGATTATGTTAATTAGGATATTCTGATCTGAGAAATTTGAAGAAATTGCCTCAAATTTTTATTTAGGAAGGATGTTTATTATTTATTCCAAACATTCTTTATTGCTTTTTATATCTAGAAATCTATGCGACATTTTTGAATACAAATATTTAAAAAAAGGTATGCAAATAAATTGCTGAAAAATTTTTTTTTTGATTCAGTATTTTTTATTTTAGTTTTATTGTGAAAAAATTTTAGGTTTATTAAAATACATTTTTTTCCCTCAAATTATTGGAAAATATTGCTTCATTAATGCTGTAATTATCTCTCTCTTTTTTTTCAAGAATTTTTAACCTGAATTGGTATGTAATATGCAATTTACTTCTTCCGCCTTAAAGATTACAAAAAAAGCATTTACCGTGCATTACTGGTATTTATGTTTATTAATTCAGATAAAGTGTTTTATTTATTTATTTAATTTTACTTTATTTTAAGTTTAGTTTATTTTGATTTAAATCATTGAAGATTCGAATATAAGTACGATATGTCTGTGTATTTTAGAAAAAACATTTTTTTTCTTCATTACACTAGTGTCTATGTTTGATTCTATTTGGGGAAGTATGACTTCTAGCCTGCAATTAGCTGAAGAATGTTTGAATTACAAGGGAGATGATGATTTTGATAATTCTGATTGGTCTGATGGCATAGAAAAAATAGCTGAAACAATTGATGCAGGTAAATTACATTACTCATCTTTAATTTTTTAGGTCAGGAAGTGCAATAATATTTTCTGGCTGCTTTAAAATTTTAGTTATTAATTTTCAGAGGAAGACAGAAAGAAGGGAAAAAATTCTTTTTCATATGACTTTTATATACTTCTTAACTCTTTCATTCAATTCAGTTTTTAAATTCATTTTTAATTGTCCAATCCTTTTCTCAGTAAATACAGCAACTAACTTATCATTTAATATTGTCACACAAGCATATGTTAAATCTAATTTTAGATTTTCCTCTTTTAACTGTTCACACATTAGCATTTAAACTGCACCCCATTATATGTTTGTTATAATTTTGTAATGTCTTTAAAGTTTTAATTTTTTACCAAATTATTTAAATTCAAAATCTGCTTTTATTTGCTTGATTTGCTAGACTTTTGACCTTAATCATTTTCAATAAATTACAGATACTGTATCCCTCTCTCTCTATGGAGTGGCTAATGCTATAAATTACACTTTGATCTAGCAGGTTGTTGGAGTTTTTCACTCTCAAAAATTGTTTTGTTTTACTCTCTTGCTGTGCAAAATTTTATAATATTAAATAACACTATTACTTAAAAAGGATGGATCTAAAATAATTTTCCAAGTTAGACCCCTTGCAAAGTTATTTTATATCTTTGTAGCTTTCAAATGCATCCTTATCAGGGAAAGATATGGTTAGTGTTAATAAATCACAACCTGCATTACATCAATCTACTTTTTGCTTTGATAATAAACCCTGGCCCATTTTTCATATCTTCTAGTATTTTTCTAAACATTTTTTACTAATCAATTGTAATCTGTTGCACTTATGCTGTTATTATTTTTAGAGATTTCGATATTGTATATCTACCCATCCAGGTAATGTATTTCCATTTTCAATAGTATTTTTATAACTTATAATCTCTATCAGACTGATTCTATTCTCTGGAATGTGCTGGTACACATTTTTCAGTTTCTCTTTCTTCGTTACTACGAAGACATATTTTAAATTCTATACTCTCAAGGCATTCTTTAAATTCTGTGTTTCCAGTTACTACACGACATTCTTTAAATTCTGTGTTTCCAGTTACTACAAGACATTCTTTAAATTCTGTGTTTCTAGTTACTACAAGACATTCTTTAAATTCTGTGATTCCAGCTATGATAAGACATTCTGTGAAGTATTATTTCTTAATACTCTTTTTTTATCTTTCTTTCTTTCTTGAGAACAATTTTCTAACGTTATTTTGTCTCATCCACAATATTTTCCTTGCTCTTGATTTCAATCTTCCTTTTTTTGTTATCCATGTTTGATTCCCAACAAGGGATAAGTAATATCTTGAATTCAAATTTTTGAATGATTACATTTCATAGGAGATTACGATGATTTTGTTGATGATTTCTCTGAAAGTGAAAACAGATCCAAAAATATATTTAAAGAAGGTAATTATGTCATCCCCCTTTGTTTTGATATATGTCATTTATTCAAATATTTCGATTACATTTGTCCTGAAATTTGATACAATGGTACAATGTTTTTTTGCTGGCTATACTCATAAGTGGCGCACAAAATCTCTAGCTTTTCAATTTGGATCTATATATATATACAGGGGTCTGTCCAGGCCAAATTTACTACCTTTTTGCGGTACCTTCACAAATTCAACTTTAAGAAAAACGGTAGTTTCACAAAATACTTTTTCTTAAAACTTTATTTTTGTATCCCATAAGAAACAATAAATTCATATTTTTACCATATTTTTCTGTTGAGTTTTTAAAATAATTTTCAATTTTTACAAATTAGGTATCTCTCAGAAAAACCTAGACAGACCCCATTTCTTTTAAAGTGGAAATAAAAATTAGCATATAATAAATAATCATTATTATAAATAGAATAGTATTATAAGTATAAATATCATTATTCTAAATAAAAATCAGTATTGCTATTATGGAAACAGACTCAAAACATTCCATAACTTAAATAACAATTCTTTTTTGAATAGTGCCCTAAACATAAAAACATTGTGTCTTTAAATCTTTAAACAATGTCAGTATTGAATTATTACTGCTATGGTAACAAGCGAGAGCACATTTCTAATGGGAGTGCAATGGATGAATGAAGGTGTTGATTGGTTTACTCACGCTGACCTATGCAAAGATCAAGACAAAACTATTAATCTTACGACCGTATTTACAGTGACTTTTCATCGTAACCATGGTACCCGCCATAACGCGAGACTGATGTCTGGAAGATTTCTTCTGAAAGGTGCACTATAGTTATGTTTCACAGAAATAAAAATAATTTTAAAGCATAGTATTTTTAGAGCAAGAACAGCAAGGTGATAAATTTTTAATTTGGAAACAGCAAGAGTTTTTTAATGTTTTTATATGGAAAGGGATAAATGGTAGTTATCATGTTTCATGCAGAGCTTATCACAAAAAGGAAATTTTTTTTAATTGAATTTTCAAATGTCTGATAAACAAATTATACAGTGCCTAATTTTGGAAAGTTAATATACACATTTTTCAAATTATACAAATTGCTGACTGGTAGATTTCCAGATAGTTCCTGGTATTTTTTTATACGCTGCTCTGTTATAGTCTATAGCTCAAAAAAGAAAAACGTATTTAAATAGTTCATAAGCATGAAATGTAGTGCCTGCTTCTGGAAAAATAATTCATGTTTCTAAAATAAAATTTTTCTATAAAAAACTTAAAAATACTTTTTTCTTATATTTTCCAAAATCTTTCCTGTGTATTTCCTTTCCATTGCGTACAAACATTGCAATGAAACAAAATTTTTTATAACTTAAGCATCTCCAAATTTTTTTTAAAATATGTTTTGGTAAGATGCAAAGTTTATTGTTGTTATCAAAGCTATTATTCTTGTTATGCAAAGATAGTAATCCCTAAAAGAGAATAATAAAACCCTACCACGATTACAAAAAGGTCAAGACTAGTTATTATTACTTTATAGTTTTTTTATGCTAATTTGCTACTTCAACTTGCTTATATTTCTTTATTGATATGGATAATATTAAAAGAAAAATAATTAAATACTGCTAATGTTTTTAAATTAATTTTCATGAATTCGTAGTGTTTTGCCTAATTGTGAGATATCTGAATAATTTTTATGAACTTTTTAGTTGTTAAAACTTAATTACAGCCTTCAAAAAATTTTAAGGTCAACTCTGAATATAGTTGAGTCAGAGTGAGGAAACACTAACTATCGTCCATTTAGGAAATTCTCCATTACATAATTATTCATATTTCCTTCTTACATTCTATTCATATTTTTACCTCAAATAAATACTTTTGATAATCTTATAATGTCGGTTATATCTAGCTACTTTTTAAAGTTATTTTTTAAAAGCAGTATAAACACATTTTTATCTAGTAATAATTCGTGTCACATAATAAGTAAAATATATTAATTCGCATGTTTTTGTTACATAATCAAATCTTCATAAATTCTGATAAAATAGCATAATAATTTAAATATTAAGAACTTAATTAATTATTTTTCAAGCCAATGAAGTTTTCAATCAGGTAATATTTTACTGCTTCAGTTTCTTGGCATTATTTATTTAATATGATAAGTTGTTTGCTGATACATATATGTCCTGTTCTGGTTCATAAGTCGGCCCCCTATTTTTGATTACAAGATAGCAAAATTTTGATATATGAGGTATATAAGTCAACCGCTGATAAACAAAATATAAAAGTTTTTAAAATTAAAAAAAAAAAAAAAAACGTAGGAAATTATTAAGTCTACAAATTTTTCTGAAGTTAAAAATATTTCAGCCACATTGTTCAACTGGATGTGATAGATTTGCCTTCAAATAAAGATTTATGGGGTACCTTTTCAAAGATAGCTACTCTCCCTACACACACGAAAGACAATAATTGAAATTTAGAGGTACAGTTATAAATGAGANTTCAAATAAAGATTTATGGGGTACCTTTTCAAAGATTTAGCATAATAAAATTGGGTTGAAGATGAATTGGGTTGAATTTAAATGGGGTTGAAGATGATTTTTTGTTGGGTGTGATTCACTGGATGAGGATAAAGTGGGATCTATTTGACGACACTGTGAAGCATAATTTATTCTGACACAGATGATGTTCTGGAATCTTTAACTTTGTAGCTTTATGGTACACTTTAAAAATTTTCATTGTTATACACTGGTGTGCAAAACTTAAGCAACAAGTGGTTTTTCGGCCACAGCTTCCCAACAAAGTATAAGATAGCCATGAAATTGCAGTATAATATGCACATAATTCAGTAGAAAGATTATTTGTGTGCAAATTTTAGAAATAAAATGTCGTAGGTCATGTAAGTGTACGTAAATCTTGTGGGTCGGCGCGCAGGTCAAAGCTGTGATAAAAGGATGAAGAGCACCATAGTTAAAGACATTCGCTGCAAGTGATTTGTTTTGTCAAACATGTCTTCAAGAAATGATTTGGAAGAATGATTAGGAAGCTTGTGGAGGGGCATAGTGTGACCAGTGTCGCCGAAGAGTTCGGGATCAACAAAAGTGTTGTTTCTCGTGCTTGGAATGCCTTTAAAATTACTAGTACAGCTGTTTGGAAGGTTGGTGGTGGCCGTCCAAGGAAAACAACACCAAGAGATGACCGTTACATTGTCCTCCAGGCGAAAAGAAACCGTTTTCAGGCAGCGATCGCCATATCTCAGCAACTGTGCACAGCCACAGGACGACAAGTATCAAGATTTACAGTGGCCAGACGCCTCCACAAAGGTGGCTTATTTGCTAGACGTCCTGAACGTTGCATTCCTTTAAAAGTTAGCCATCGACGGCACGTTTAGAGTGGTGCAGAGAACACGAAACCTGGACACCTCATCAATGGAGTCGCTTCCTCTTCACAGATGAGAGTCGTTTTAGTGCTACAAGCGATTCTCAACGTCAGTTGATCTGGAGGGAGGTTGGAGCTCGATTTCATCCCAATAACATCGCGAAAAGAGATTGTTACGGTGGTCCTGGTGTTGTCGTCTGTGGTGGCATTATGTTGAACGGGCGGACTGAGCTTCAGATCTTCGACCAAGGTTCTGTAACTGGAGACTGCTACTGCAATGAGGTAATCCAACCCCATGTGCATCTGTTCCGAGGGGCCATTGGACCAGACTTCATTTTTATGGATGACAATGTCCGGCCACACCGTACTGCTAATGTTCAAGAGCTACTGGAAAGTGAAGATATCACACTGGATTAGCCAGCTTACTCTCCAGATCTAAATCCCATAGAGCATGTGTGGGATGCAGGAGACGTCTTGCGACACGACAGTATCCTCCTGGTAACACCCATTAGCTGAAAGATACGTTAAAGGAGGAATGGAGACATTTACCCCAAGAACTCCTGGATAATCTGGTGCTTAGCATGGAGAGACGATGCCAAGCAACAATTACAGTAAGGGGAGGGCATATCCCATACTAGGGAACATCTGCCAGCTGTACTTACGCTTCTTCAAGCAATCGTGTGTAACGCCACTATATGTCAAATAAAGCCTTTTCTTGTTCCATACCCTACTTTAAGCTTTATATTCATTTCTGTGCCATTATTCTTTTACCATAGTTTAAGTACAAAATAATGTACATCATATTCAAATTCCATGTCAATCGGATGATTTCTTGTAGAGTTATGACAAAAACGCACTTGTTGCTTAAGTTTTACACACCAGTGTATTTTTTGAAATACTCTTGAATAATTATCTTAAATTTCCTTATTCTTAATTTGTTTTTCTGAACGTAGTTTGAAGTATTGTTTATAAAAAAAAATATCTATATGTAAAGAAAATATCAAGAGAGAAAATGCAAAATTAATTGAATATGACTTATTAAAAATAGTTTTTTAACCCTTTAATGCTAATGGGACACTCTGACCCTTTTAAATATTTTTTTTGATGCCCTTAATTGCAAGCTAAAATATATTTTGGTATTCTTTAATTAAAATAAAAAGTAGTCTAATAGTTACTAAAAAAATCTTAGATTATCGGAATTATATTTGTACTTAAATTTAAAATCCAAAAAAAAAGTAGTTTGAAATAAATTTTTTTGAAATTCATATTCAAAAGTTTATTAATAATTGATTTTGGAAATAAAAAAAATTTCAATAATGAATTGCTTTTTCTCTTAAATATAAATAACTTCAAAGAAGTGCAAATTTAAAAAATAATTGTTTGGAAGATTTTACCTTTAATGCAGAAAAAAAAAGCGCTGGTCTTTCATGATGTATTTCATAACCATAAATTATTAAAATTCTAAATCTAATATTTTTCTCTTATTTTGACCTAAATTAATACACAATAAGAAAAAAAGTTTGAAAAATATCTCTAACAAAATTTCTGCATCAAAGGGTTAAAATAGGTAAATTGCTACATAGTTATTCACTATATTTTACGGTCAACAAATGTCTGATTTTGTTACTAGTCCTAGTGTATAAGCTGACCTCTTGATTTTCGTACAGTTTTTGGGGATTGAAAAGTCGATTTATACTATGATATATACTGTATTTCACAACCATAAATTATTAAAATGCTAAATATAAAATTTTTCTCTTATTTTAACCTAAATTAATACAGAATAATAAAAAATCAGTTTCATAAAAATTCAGCATCGAATAGTTAAAACGGGTAACTTGATGCAGAGTTATTCATGAATTGTTTATTATGAATCTATATTTTACGATCAACAAATGTCTGATTTTATTACTGCTGTATGAGTCGACCTCCTGATTTTCATAAAATTTTTGGGGTTTGATAAGGAGACTTATACTATAGGATCTACAGTACCTCATTTTTGTAACTGTTATAAATGGTATTAATGTTAATTTTATTTTTCTACTTTCAGTTCTTGCAAATTTGAGAATTAGGATTCAGGATTCATCTCTTAAAATTTTACATGCACCAGGAAATGGAAAGAGTGGTGTAGCATTAGAAATAAAAATATCTAAGTATGAATTTCAATTATAATGTTAAGTATAAAATTATTTAACACTAAGTTTTTTAGCAATCATCTCATTCTCTTTTCTCATTAGCTTTGTGTTGAACCCTTTGAAGTTCCTGTAAATTGTTAAGTTTCTGTGAATATTCCTTCTCTATATGAATTTTTTAAAAAAATTGATGTTAGATATAGATTTTTGTACAGACTGCTTTCTTTTCACTGATGCACAGCATTTAAAATGTAAAGTCATTTAGCTTTAAGCTCTGTATGTAACTGTTTTAAACAATGTCTTTAAGCAGTCATAAGTAATAAATCACTTTAAAATGACAGTGCTGAAAATAGTTTATTGTTATTTTCTGAATAGTGTTGAATACTTTGATGAAGCTGGAGTAAATGCAGAATCTGAGAACAGTGCGGAAGCTGACAAAAACTGTTTCGAGCCACAATCCTATGCTTTCAAAAAGTTTATATTTGAAGGAGTCAGTCTTTTTACTTCAGAATTTTCAACTCAAGCACGAGGATTCTCTGCATCAACATTTCCTTATGCATACGTGGTTTGTATAATGCTTTTTCAAAATCTTATCATTCAAAGAATTATACTTTAATAGATTCTTTCTTATTAAAATGGACTAGTTGAAAAATGTTTTAGTTCTGAACCAATTCTCTTACCTATCTATCATCTTCTATATAAGGAATCTCAGTCAAAATCTTAAATACCTAAAAAGTTTTCTGAAATAGTAGATCCCCTTTAACAATGGTTTTCCCCCTTTTGCCGAAGTCTTAAAAAAATAAATCATTAATTCTGTTAAAACCTTATTTACGCCATCTGTGTGAATTTGATCAACCAAATTGGATCTAATTTTGACTTATTTGATTATATGAAATTTTAGATTAGGCTTAAACATTTCATAAGGACGTGACTGTTTAACCACACATCTACACCACATTGGCATGGTGTCTGAGACACATTGTTCTTTCTGTAGTGGCTTTTTCCAATGGAGGATCACCACATTCTCCACGGTCACAGCTCTTTGTTGAATTCCAATCATCAAGAGATATTGGGTGGCAAGAACATACCTAATAAGAATGAAATGCCTTTTTGTATTGCTGTTGATTCCTTCTTTGATTTTTTTTTTTTTTTTACTATGCTCTCATCTCTCTTGCCATGCGGTTGAGAATGAAAAAAAAAGAGTAGATTTGCTTCAATTTTCAATAAATGTAATTTATTTTTACTCTTTTTTCTTTATATTCATGAAATCATAACATTCGAAAACAGCTGGATATTGTTAAATTAGTGATGCAAAAGTTTTAATTTAGTTTTAAAATCAGATAAGCAAGGAAATACCTTTCAGGGGTTGGATTAAGATTTGTGTAGACTATTATACACCATTCTTTTTAAATCTTGATACAGCTTAAAACTTTAATACTAATACTATCATTTGTAAAAAAATAAATAAATTAAAGTAACTTTGAGCTATATATAATTAAAGTTAAACAGTGTAAAAAGTGGCATTATCTGTGTTCTTTTCATGCTATGAGCTTTATTCAGAAATGGAATATTATTTCTCCCATAAATTATGCAATAGCTAATTTTTTTTATCATTTTTCAAAGATATCTGAAAAAAGATAGAGTAAATTTTGTGCTCCTTAGAAATAAAGCTAAAACAATGTAAATGAAGCACAAATAAAAATACAGTTATGGTCATGATATATTAGTTATAAAAACAAAAACCTTCCTTAGTGTATAAACACAAAAATGCATTATACTGTTACATTTTATGTTTAGACACTGAAGAAGTTTTTGTTTATAAGTCTGAAACTATAGTATGTCTGTATTTTTAGTGGTGCTTTCTTTACATTATTTTTTCTTTGTTCATTTTTGAAGCTATAATATGTATTTGTTTATGAAACTATGTGTCTTATATTCAAGTTGGTTATAAAGTAAGAATTCTAATATCCTATGTGTATGTTTAATATTCAGCTTACTTTATTATCGATTTTCCCCCCCTGCAGAATCCTAATGCTTTTGTTCCTGGTTCTCCTGAAATGCCTCCTCCACATTGTTCCTTACCAATGAAAAAGTCTGAAGAACCAGAAATTCAAGAGGAGCCCATCTTAATCTCAAAACTGACTGGACAACAAGAATTAAGATTAAAATTGAAGCAGAATGAATCACTTATTGGACCTAAGGTTAAAACCATTCATAACCGTCAAACAATTTTTTTTTTTGTTGATAAAAGTTTGAACTTGTCTAAATTATCTTGATCTTTTTTTCTTAAAATTATTATTGATGCATTTTTTTTTTTTAACTTTTCTTTTTCAGGTTGATGTTGAATTTAATTTAGGAGCTTTTAATTTATTTCTAATACCCAAGCAAGTACATCTTCTCTATGATCTGTTATCAGGTCTACTGCAGCCTAGTAAGTAATTTACTTTTATTAATACCTGATATTAAAGTTAATTTTATCATGTTAGGTTTTTATCAGCTGGGTGCATTAAATTGTATTAATACATTGTTAATTTTTAAATTTATTAGTTACAATTAACCTTCTCTACCTTCTAGTATTAGCTGTCTTACAAATTTATTGATTTCAATAGATTTTGCCCGTAGTTCTCTAAAAAAGATGTAATTATTCATATAGATTTTTCTTACTATCCTCCGATTAAAACTTAATTTGTTTATATAATAAGAAATTTTTTTTTCATTGATTTACAAAATAAAGAAGAAAAAAAACATTAATTGATGAATGAAAAAAACTGAAATTTTGGAATATACATTGCACATATTAATTTAACATTTGTATGTAGTACATAACAATATAGAAATTCAGCTTTTACTACTCTTTATTTGTGAAGTTTATTGATAAGTATCTAAGTTCGGTACAAATAATATGTTGCATTGCATATGTTGTATGAACAGAATATAATGTCTAATTTACAGTTTCAATAAAACTTTGATTATTCTCGGGACCCAAGGTATATTGAAAAATTGAAGATAATCCAAGTACTTTTTAAAATTGTTTTCTAATTGTATAATATTTGGGTGAAACTGCTCGAAATAAGTAATGGATATTATAAAGCTTAAAAAGAAAAATAATTTTACTTTTCCATTATAAATAACCATTTCTGACGAAAACATTTCTAAATTTTTTTTTCTGGGAACCAAATGTCAGTTGCAAGAGTTGTTTACTAACACTTTCTTTAACAATAGACATTTTTTATAGCATTAGGTTTTCCTGCTATTGGTATTTGAGCTACAGCATGCACAGAAATTTGATTACAAGTTTTAGTGTTGTTAAAGTTTAGAAAATAAGGTAAGGTTTACGGATCAAATGTTATGCAAAATCTCTGTAAGGATAAAATGTGTGTAAGACTGTTTTTAATGCTCTTAGGTGAGAGTATCAGATTAACAAAGTGAAATATAAGAGATGCTTTACTGTATAATTATTTTTGTGGTTCATATGAATAATGTTTGACTTGTCACAATTGTAAAATCATAAACACTTTATTTACAAAGTATAATATAAGAATGTTTTGTAGACATTTTTCTTTGACCATTTTAAATTTCTCTTAAAAATTCTGATTACTGCAGTCAATAAAATAATGACATATTTTATGTGGCACACTAATTAGAATAAAGTTTTCAAATCATCTTTTAATGAGCCAATGACTTGTCCGAGATTTAATATAAGTAAATAAATTTCTTTTTTCAAAAATTTCAAATTAATGTCCATGCAATCATTACTTTCTTAGCAATTATTTTGAGTTTTCGCTAACAATTTTAACTCCTACTATGCAGGTTCTACTGAAGATTGCAGACGAATGTCAGTAGCAGCAGCCAATAAACCGATGAGAGCTGCAGATTTTGCTCTTGTTGAACAAGAACTTTATAGGCAACAACAGAAATGTGAAATCCCTACTAAATCACTTAAAAATCAAGGATGGTCATCGCATTGCATTGGTAATCTTTATTTACGCTTTTCCATTATTTAATTTATTTTCCTTTTATTCTTTTTAATTACTTATAGTATTTTTGGAAATTTTACTACATGTACAGTTTAGTGATGTCCAACATGTTTAGAGTATTATGTTTTTTGAATTTCATGTCATCAAGCCCTATATTTGAATGATCTTTATTAACATTTCTGTACTATTTTTATTGGTCTTTATGATTGTTTCATTTTTTTACAGTAAAAGTGTATTTTTTGACATTTATAACGCCAATAATTTTTTTCTTTCTTGTAATTGAATTTAATATACTGGTTAATTCAGGCTTAGATTTAATATACAGGATAATTCAGTGAAGATTAAGAATTGCACAGCAACCTATTTTTATGTCATCCCAAGTTGTGTGGGGAAATTTTCTATTATATATTATTTATATCATAATAGGAACTTTTCTATTTTGTCTGTGTGCATGTGAACCGGTGCTATTATTCACCTAAATCCTATTGCCACCTTACCTATACCACCCCATATTGACAAAAATTTCATTAAATAGGCTTAAAAATCCTGTTTTATCGTAACTTACAGATTGGTAAATCAAACTAACAAGTTCTGTAAGTTAGTTGTAAAACCATCAATCAATTAACTATGATAAAAGAGTAAACCTGTTCAACTTTTTGGCAACCAATTTTAGAAAAGTAAAAAGAAATTAATTTAGTTAAATTTAAGTGCCTGTTCAAATGCTCATGAGCAGCTAGTCGATAATAAGGAAACACCCCTAATAGTGTGTGCTGACATTTCCGGCCTTTGGTTGTTGCTTAGTTGAAAGCATCAAGTCTCATGATGCTTTCTTCTTAGTTTTGACCACTGTATTGGATCACCCCTTATAAAGAATATTATTTTATTGTGTAATTCATTTTTTACTTAAATATTTTAATTAAATAAACTAATAGAAATTTAATAAAGCAAACTAATTATGGTGTTTTATGAGAAAAAATTTATTTCTCTATGTGTAATTTTTTTTAATAGCTATGTCATAAAGGATGCTAATTTAAATAATTTTATGCTTCTCAAAAATCTGAATTTCTAATTATTGTTTTTATTTTCTACTTTTTTATCATTAGATGAGTCAGATGATGAAATCAACTTCATGTCTATGGAAAGTAAACACTGCAAAGAGTTTGTGGAAAATGAAAATGACTCCCTCAGTAGCAGCATAAGTAGTGACTTTGTTAGATCGGATAGTTCAGGTGATAATGTTTAGTAGTTTCTATATTATTTCTGTTTGACCTCTTAATTTTAAAACTGGTATGCACATATTTTTGATTGGTTCATTTTATTGCTCATTGACCCAATCTTCCTTCTCACCTATCTTTTATTTGTTCGAATTGTGGAAAAATAATTATTTGAATATATATTATCTAACCAAAATTAGCTCTTTTTACCATTTTTTTTCCTCCAAAATTTAAAAATTTTTGCAACAATATTAAATTATAAAGTTAGTTTTTTGTTATTTTCTTCTATTTTTCTTACCTTGGAACACCTATTCTTCTTAAATGCATTTGAATTACTATTATTTTGCGTCAGAAATCAGCTTATCAGCGAAGAGTCTTACCATTTATTTTATTTCAAATATTCAACCCTCTGTGTAATGTTAAATTTTAAAAAGAAGAGAAATCAAAATTATTAAAGCAATAGAAACAACACTTCCAGTGGAAAAACGCGCTATGCAGCAGAAATTCTAAAAGGAAATTGAAACCAAAAGAAAAAGGAAGGAAAATTGAATAATAGAAGGTATAAAGATACCAGTATAAGATATCTTTATACCAGTATACCTCATGCTCAAATACTTGATATTTGTAGTAGCATTTATGATAAATATTTATTTAATGAAAGTATTGATAAATCTTATTGGATAGATATTTTTAAATTTAATCTTTTTTAAAATGTTCTTTTTAGTGGTCTTCATTTTTATAAACAAAATATAGGGATTCCACAAGGTAATTCTTTTTCTGGCGCTTTTGCTAATATTTTTTTTACATTTTTATGAAGCTGAATATCTTGAGTTTAATGATTTTAAACCTCTTAGATATATTGGTGATTTAATTTTATTTAAGTGTGATAATTAGGATTTTATCCTAAAGATTTGGTTTTGAAGAAGGCTAATGATAATTGCTGAAATGTTGAATATTTATATTTTAAAATTAATATTGTTGATAAATAAATTAAAATTGGTGTTTATGATAAAAGGAAAGCTTTTAAATTTAAGGTTATTTTTTTCTGTAATTTTAATACTAATTTGTGCAGTAAAATTTTCAAAAATTTAGTTTTTCCTCAATTGTCTAGAATTAATAAAATTTGCAATAATGTTGAGAGTTTTCAATTGGCAACAAGTAATTTTTTAAAAAATTTGGAAAATAGCGGTCATCTTTTTAATTTTTGTAATATTGAATTTAAAATTAAAAAAATGATTAAAAATTGTTAGTTTCATTTTCTTTTAATAGAGCATGATCAAGTCTTTGCCGAATTGCCCTGGTTATGCATTTCTACTAATGATGGCAACTGCTTTCTTGCTCCTTTTCTTTTTTCTTCCTTCTGCACATTAAATTAGGGGGCGTTAGTTTTTCGTTAATTTCAATTTAGCTGAGATTTTTTGTCTATTGTGTACCTTGGATTTATTGTTTTGAAATAAGTTTTTGAACATTGTACTCTTAACCTGGACTTGGGCAAAACCTTTGGGGTACAAAGAGAGCAACTCAGACATTTGTCATGCTCTCTCGATAGAAAAGGTTTTGCATTTGTTACTTTTAGGGCTGGTACCCCCTAACGACGTCAGCTTCAGTTGTCATATTTTTCATTTTTTTCTGTATTCTTTTCTCAATACAATCAAATATGTTTTCCACATACAGTGTACTACCGATTATCCAGGTTAATCACCGGGACAGGTTGCACGGACAATCAAAAAACACGAATAATCCGAAAACTCCTTTTATTAAAGAAAAATTCAATATCAGTACAAAAAATATAAAAATTACTGACATTTGCATGCATAACATCAAACTAGGAATTTTCCTTTTTAAAAAATTTGTAATGCGTCTTCGCCATATATCGATACACATATTTTACGAACCGCAGTAGTGTCACCGTAATCAAATCCTCCCATATAATCTAATAAAGTTTCCACAGAGCAGCAGAATGAGAAATAATATTTCATTCATTTACTACATCTTTTGCATCAGTTACTATCATCACTATTTGATTTAACAACATAACGATGTCTTCATCAGTCAAATACTCGAAGCCAGGCTCACATGCATCACTTTGAAACCTATCTTCTAAATTTTCTTCATCAAGAATTTCGAAACCTTAGATTTCTTTTGCTTGTTCGAGAATACTGTTATCATATTTTTCTTGAACATCTGAAAAGGATTGTTCATCAAGCGGTATGATCTTTCTCCAAGATCGTGATAGATAACGTAGACGATTTTACCTTTGACCATGCTGCTGATATTCCATATACTTCAATCCAATAACGAATATTGCTTCCAAACATTTGGTAGTGTTATAACTTCACGAATCAAATTTTTTTTATCTTGAAAATGTTTCTCTTTATATTTTCTGTGTGACTCCGGAATGAGCACAGATAATCCGCAAACCGGATAATCCGCGCACGGATAATCGAGAGTGTACTGTAGTTAGATTCTGATTAATGAGAAATTTTTGATAAGAATGTTTTGTAGTTTTTGTCTGATTAATAGTAAATAGGTTTTAATTAATAATTTTAGTGCTTGTTACAAATCATATTTTAATAAGATTAATTTTTTCTATTTCAGGAAATCAATTTTCCACAAATTTAAGGAGAAGGAGTCGAAATAGTAAGTGTAAAAAGTTTAAATGTAGTGTTCTAAATTTAGTGAAACTGATTTATAATAACAACGTTAGGACAAAGATTATTCATTTTTTTTTATCTGGGTGTTAAATTCAATTTAGCCATAATTATCAAAAATCAGAGTTATTATGTGCGAAAATGAATTAGAAATTGATTACTTTTTTTAATTTGCACTAAAGAATAAGCTTTTACGTATTTTTATAATTCTTTTTTTTATTTATTTATTTTTAATTTTCATTTATATATATTTGGGATTGAACCTTAAAAGATTTTTGAGGTTCAACGCTATGGTACAAAATACGTTATATCAAATGCTTATTTGTTGCAAAAAATTTTGCAGCTTCTTTAGACGTTGATTTAATAATTTTTTCTCCATCACTTTTAGATTCCCCATTTTTAAAACATTTAGTCAGGAATATGCACCCAGACACATAAGCAGCAGTTGGTATATACTTATAATAAATTAATTAAAAAATTATACATTGTTTCTCTTTATTGTTTATCTACATAATATATTTGAGCCAATTGAAATAAAGTGTTAGTTTTAAACTCTTTGAAATGGATAGAAATTTCCTGAAACATTCAAATCTTTTTTTTTTCTGACAGCTTCAATAAATTATTTTGAAGTTCAGAAAATATTCTTTATGGAATTCAATTTAAGCTATGATAGTAATAATAGAATTTATCTCGAATTTTTAACATTAAGCCAGAAATTTATTAAAAAATTTCTCATTATTCTCAAGATATTGTCAAATTGGAGCTTTTTATAAAAATGAATTTGACTATATACATCAAATGGTTCTTTTTTATCATTGTTGAGATTTTAGCTGTCTTAGTGATCTAGGTCAAAATATATTATTGATTACTATTTTGTAATCAAGTTGTCTATGTGTCCATAATTTTTAATATTTATTACTATTTAGAATCTGCTGTAATTCTAGGCTCTACAGTTCAAGCTTTACTTCAAGATCAAGTTTCGGAGTTGACACATTTTCATGGCTGCGTCAGTAGCTGCTGTATCATTATTCTGCATGATGATAGTGTTCAGGAATCACTTTCTGCAAGTTGTAAAGACTCAGAAGAATCAGATACTAATAAATCAATCTCCTTGAAGGAGAGGGCAGAGACATTTTTTGATGATTTGTTAAAATTCCAAATGGATGGATTTGATTTCAAAGACTTTAATGTATCACGAGATCCTCTTTCAAAATTGTGTGAAACCAATCATTTGAGGTATTATTTTTTCTTTTTACATATATTTCTTGTATTTTTAGAAAGCATGAAAATATTAGGATATAAGACCATTTCTTATAGCTATTGGTGCATTATTATTGAACAGCAAATCTCATAATCTCATTGTATTGTTCCACATCATCTGAAAGTTGTTGACAATCATGAGCTTAAAATTATTTAAAGTTTATTTATTTACTTACTAACATCATTTTTATTCTGTTCTATTAAAGATATATTTAATGCATATTTGTTAAATTTATCTTAACCTATTTTTTACTAATATACTGTCTATACTTCCCTTATTTTATCTTTTCAGATATATTTTTAACATTTTTTTTTTAATATTTTAATTAAATAGTAAAATAGTTATATTTAATTTATGCAAGTAAAATAACTTTTTAAATATTTATTGCAATGTTAACGATTGACTTTTTGCACTGTTTCAATGTAATCTCTTTGGGGAAAAATTCTAATTGAGTTTTTATAGCACTCAAAATGTAAATAAGAACTTTAAAAGCAAATTTGTGGATAAAGTTGCAATATTAAGCACATTAAACTCTTTTGTTTAAACTTTATCTCAGTAAGATCAGAAACGAAATATGTGAAATGAATTTGGTATTAAAACAATAAAAAAAAATTGAATCTATTAAATTGAATGATTTTAAATATTGATGTAACCTTCTGTGGTGATTTGCAAACAGGGCAATGTCATATTTTAACCATACATTTCATGTAATATGTGTTATAATGGATAGAATATTATGGAAATTTCAAATATATTTTTTTTATAGTTTTAAAGTGTTGATATGATTAATATTAAATTAATGTAACTAGTTCTTTATTTTACATTTCTGTGTAGAACAGCTGTTACTTAGAACCTTTTGGACTTACTATTTCTTTACAATTATACTAGAAATATAGTGTTCTCTTGTTATTGTGGCTTTAAGTTCAATTTCTAGTTAATGAAGGCAGTTTTGTGGTTTCTTAATTGTCTTCTTTGTTTTTAATATTAATAGCATGGATTAATGTGTAGTGCTTATCAGATAAAGCTTATAAGAATTCTATTGTTTTGCATCTTTCTGTGGCAAAAAAAAAGAGGCTGGATCATTTATTTTTTTGTTTTAACCATTTATAGAGCCCAACTAACATGATAGAAATTATTAAAAAAAATAATTAATGAAAGCAGAATGAAGCCTTTTTTTATGCTTGGGTGGTGGTCATAAAACGTGTAGAAATAAAGAAAGCATTTACTAAGTCAACAAAGTAAACAATAGTCCTCATTTATGAATTTGCCAGAAAATTTTATGAACATAATTCTTTCACTCACTTTAATCTTTTCCAATCAAGAATAGGAATGTGGTGCGTTCTGTTTAACAACAAAATTATTCACATTGATTTAAGCTAAGTTCAAAAGTTCGATAACTAAAAAGCTAAAATTAAAAAAGCCCTTCTTTTTCATTAAAATGCTATGAGACTTTTAGAATGGTTCATTTTCTACTGGATGGATTTCGTTTATATTTTAGAATAAATCTGAAAATTTCACTTATCTTAAATTTCACTTATCTTAAATTTCACTTACCTTAAAATTTCTGCAAATGTAGAACTCAAGTTTTGTATTTTTCTTGCTAATTTCATTATTTATTTGTGATGTTTTTTCCATTGTTTAAGCATTTTTTCATGCCTGCATGATTAGAAATAATGGTAAGAATTTTAAGGAAGTTGTTATGCTGTCATTCTCCTCACAATATTTTTATGAAAATTTATTTTTCTAAGTAGAATTCAATAAAAGGCTTCAGAAAAAAAAAGCATTGTCTCTATTTAATGGTTTTAAAAAATTCCTTAGCATTTTGCTAAAAATAAATTTTGATATTGATTATTTTTACCTTATAAAGTTTTGAAATATGAAAATATTTTGATATTTAGATTAATGGCATCATCTGTAACCATTGATGGAAATGAAAAATCATCCTCTATACAGCGAATATTGAATTTCTCTATGTCATTTTTTAAGTGTGAGATATTAGAGTCTTTATTCAACTCAGCAAACATTGTGAACAAGCCAAATCAAAAGTCACCTACTTATGTAGAAGTAATATATTTATATATTTGTTATTTATTGTAATATTGTTAAAAATAGTTAGAGTAAATAGTAATGCATGATTTTTTTAAAAGTTCATCCTGTAAATAGATATATAGAAATCCCTCATTTATAAACGTTGAATGAAACGGGGCCATTGAAATGTTGATTGTTACTCTTGTGTAAGTAAGGCAACTTCAGTTTAACTGACATATAAGAGACTTAATGAGAACTTAAATTTAACAAAAATATCAGAAATACTTAGTACAATGTTAAGTTTATCGGAACATAGCTTGCTTTTAATGAGCAAACCCTGGTTTTAATGAGCAATAATTTTTTTATTCATGAAATAACTTTTGAAGTAAGGCTAGTAAGGACATTTCTAATGAGGAGCAGATCACCAATGAAAAAGAAAATGGTAACTTTGAAAATGAGTAGTAAAGAATTTGAAAGTTATGTATCTGTTGTCACCAATGGTATCACTTCTGAAATACCAACTACCAAGAATGTTGTAGCTGAAATTCAAACTAAAGCAGATGAAAAAAATAATGAAAAAGATGATGATAACAATGAATGTGAAGACTATTAAGCTCAACAGCCCGCAGCATATCAATGACTTTTGATTGCACAGAAAAACTTTTTTCAAAAGCAGGGGTACGAATGGCAAATGTTTTGCAAGCCATGAGTTTTATCTGAAGAACAACAACAGAAGCAGTAAGACAGTTCGAAGCAAATCAGACAACTTCTTTTGTATAATGCACAAATAATAAAGTATTATATTTATATTTTAGTATGTCAGAACTTTTATTATTTTTTCACTAATCGGTTCTTCACGAGCACTCAGTCATTATGATCAAATATTGTGGTTCCTTTGCGCTCATTATAAGCAAGTACTGTAATGTAAATTGTAGGAAATTTTTATTTCTTGAACTTTAAAAAAAATAGTTTAATGTATTTAATTTACCATTAAAAAAAAGTTTTTAAACTATTAATGGTCTGTCAGAATCCACGCTGTATGATAAAGAAATAGTAAATTTTTCGTTATTTTATGAAATTTTTCCACATGAATCTAGATTTTCTATGTAAAAATAATTTCAACTAAATAAATTATTGGTCCTATTATCTTTATTTTGACTGAACATATACACATTGCTTTTATTTTTAATTGTAATTAGAAAAAACATCTATTTTTTTTCTCTTCATGTAACTCAAAATAACTTTCAATTAATCAAGTCACTATTATATTTTTATTTAACAGATACTCAAGTGTGATAATAGAATATCATCAGAAAATAATACGGAAATGCAACAAGCTGCTTTAAAGTTGAAGTATCAACAAATAGATTATATTGCAGAAGTAAGAAATGTCTTCAGTTTTAAATAATAAAGTATTACTTTGAATAACTTTTTATTTTCAGTATATTGTCTATGTATCATATATTTTATATATCACATGGATGGTCTTCATTGTGTATCTTAATTTTATAAACTGTCTACTTTAGAAATTGCATATTGTTGCTAAAAATTTTAAATAATCAATTTTCATATTTTTTAATTTTTTAGAATCGCACCATGAAACCACCTACTAATAAATTGGAACTTCAATTTGGTCCCATCACTTGTGAATTTGATATCTCTATTACAGATAGAATACAAACATTGCTTGGATTTCAAGGCTCATTCAGTCAAAATGATTCTAAAAAAGAGGATTGGGTAGTTGTTATTTTATTTTTTATAAAGATTAAAAGCATATACATATATTTTATTCTAAGGATATGAATTTTTATCAGTTGTATGCATGTGTATATATATTTTTTCTGTATATGACAACATCATTAACTTTACTTCATCACTAAGATTTAGTTATTTCCTTATAATTTAAAAGTATATTATTGTATTGAACTTTTTTCTTAACTCTTAACAAAGTTAAATTTGTTTATATTATAATAAAGTAATTGAATTAAATGCTAAAAAGTGTTTAAAAGTTATAATTTTTTAATACATGTTTAAAATTTTAATGCAAGCTGTGTATTATATTTTAGAACGTTTAAATTTAAGTTCCAATATTTAACCTTAGAGGTCATCTGAATTCTAATGATTTCAAAAATATACTATGTAAGTGTATGAAATATATAATTCATCATATGTATAAAAATTTTATTTTTTTCTTCTAATTTTGTTAAAATTTTTGGGGATTTTAGTAGTTAAGCATGTATTATGTACAATTTAATCTACTTTAAAATGCTTTTAAAAAGATACTTATTATGGCAAAACTTTAATCCACTGTAATTTAACTGAACATCGATCATTTTTTAGAAAGATTCTGAGATTATGGCTACTACAAGAAGTGCTCCAAAAACTGACATAAATCTTTCCAGTCCTAATGTAACCATTAACCTAAGGTAATGAATATGTTAGTTATTTTCATCTAATATGAATTATTGTAGATAAAATAATTGCTATTAATGTTTTTCACTGTGTTATAATTACTATGTATAATTACCATTGTCTGCTGACAAGAAAAATAAACTGCACTTCTAAACTTAAGCATAAAAATATGTTGTTGTTGCATATCTCTGTTGTTTAGCAACACTAAATCAGGTCAATGAAATCTGTCACTTTTAAAACGTCTAATACTAGAATTAATTTTGTAAAAAGATCTTGTCTGGAAAACCCCAGACAATCTAGTATATGGTTAGGTGTGGCCTGATGGTCAGCATACTTCACACAGGTTGGGAGAACCTTTTTTCCATTGGAATACAGAAATTTCAAATGTCGACTGATGTGCATCTGGTCCCGCCTACAAATGTTGAGTGATAAAACACCCCCAGGGCATTTTCCCTGCTACCATTGGTGAACAGGTTGGATGGTCGGTCCAAGAAGCATTTGCAGCTCTTGATAACAGCTCTAAATGTGTTACTAAATCAGGTGTGTCCAACGGCATACCTGCACCCTCTTTAACCTCCTCAAGTCTTCTGAGCAGCCTCATCGCGGTTAGGGGGTGTTTTTGGGTGAAGTACTTCAGGAGAATTTTCTCCTGATAGGGCGGCCACCCTAGGCGTGAAGGCTACTCCATTTTGCTCAGCTAATGCCTGAGGCGATGCAACCAAGTCAGTCTTCTACCTTTTGATGTTCCATTCACTTCTTTTTGACAACAGAAGCTTCCCACTTTTCTTCATCTATGATTGCGAATTTTTTTTTTTTATATAGACTTATCAGATTGCAAGCTTATCTGTATAAATTTTTTTTTTTTATTCTGGCTTGCATCAAGACTAAAGCCTGAAGTCTGCTGTTTACAATGCGCAATATGCATAGTCAAACTTCCAATAGTTTTTAAACATAAATTTATTTTTCAAAATTTCAAAAAATATTATTTTAATGTTTGATTTTAATTATGCTTTATTTTGACACACAAAAGTGTGATTTTAATAGTTTTAAAAAATTTATTTTACACTCAAAAAATTCCTTAGTGTTATTAACTCTATTTCTAAATATTCAAATTTCATTAAAATATTTTTTAAAACCTTTTTTTTCTACTCTTGGCCAATTTCTTTTCATTTATTTATTTTCATGAATAGCAAAAACGTTTACGCAAACTCGGTGTGTAATGATGCTGTAAATTATCAAGGTTTCAGTTTAAAATTTCCTATTATAAACTAATTATAATGTATAAATTGTAAATAGCATATTTAAAAAAATTTCTCGGGTGCAATTTTTAGTGATGCTATAAATTATCAAGGTTGCAATTTATATTTAGTATTATAAACTAATTATAATGCATAAATTGTAAATAGTATATTCACGAAGGTTCTGGGGTGCAAATTTATATGAAGATGCAAAGATGTTTGAATCTCCGTGGTAGCGTTTTGCACTATTGTGCCACAGATCTGGGGTTCTATCCATTGTCCCTGCAAGGTTGACCTAGTCCTCCAATGGATAGATAAAATAAGTGCCAAACTTTCTTGGGGACTAAACAATGGGGGTTGCGCGTTGAGCTGATTCTCCAGTTGGAGTATCTGTTCCTGCACCCCAGAGCTTAAGGTCAAGAAAATTGATGTGGCCTCGGTTGTCCTTGGGCTATCGTACTGAGTTTAATTTTGGTTTTTGCTGAGATGTTTTAATTTTTTTAAGCTATTAATAAAAACCAAAATAATTTAGAAAGTCAGAAAAACTAATCTTGCAGAAAATGAAAAAAAATTTGAAATATGTTTGTTAGCAGCGAGACAGCACTTCATCTGGGGTCTCACTGCCTGCCAACATGCAGGACAGTGTGTTCAATTAAAATAAAACAAAATTTGTTTTAGCTGCTTTAAGCACTTTTCCATTTTGATTTATTATTTTAAATGTTGTTTACTTATTTTGTCTTATTCTGAATTTGTTTAAATCAGTTTTATTTTTTGATAAGAACCGAAATAGTTATCTTTATTAGTAAACCGATAGATTGGAATACCTATCATAATCCCATTGCTAAATCGTCTGTTCACGTATAAAATGTTTTATTAATGAATCTTCTTTTTTTTAGATTCCCTATTCCTGATCTACGATCTATTCATGATATAAATCGTGTTCCTTGGTGGCAGCAAAATCTGCATAAGGAAATCTTAATTATGGAATTGAAAGACGTGACATTTTGCACTACATTGGAAAATGATAGCTCTAAAGCAAAATATGAAGTGCAATGCAGAGATTTCCATGGTAATTTAAGTTGTTTTTATTATCTATGTGTTTATCAGAATTAATGATATAATTTTGTAAATAGCTGAATAAATCAACTTTAGTCTTATGTTTTTTTTCTTCTAAGAGCTTGAAACTAACTGTTTTCATGATATATATTATTTATACTTTCCCTCATCTCATTTAGAGTAAATACTGTTCATTTTAATAAAGTTGTATTTAATTTTTATATAATGAATATGAACTTGTTCTGTCAATGAGTATTCAAACATCATAAAGCCTTTTTTTTTGTTGTTATTAAGTGTTATTTTGAAAATTGGTATTTTTTCCATCTTCTCATAACATTAAAAAAAAAATATTTCTAAAAATGTGCAAAGATTTACTTAATTGTCTTTGCCTTATTTATTTTTTAACCAACTAGTTAATTCTTCAGCATACTTTCATAAATTATATTAAGGGTGGTAACTTTATGCAAAAAATCATTTATTTTCTAGCATTATATTTGCCTATGTGAAAGATTTGTCTTTCTTATTTCTTAGGATTATTTCAACTGTCTAGTGAGAGTGATCCAATTTCATTTCTAAGAGTGTCAGTAGACCCTGAAGTTGATGAAGCTTCAAAGGAAGGAGGATTTGATTGGCCTCGGTAAGTTTATATTTATTCTATGCTCTAATGATCTTTTGTTCTTGTAACCTGAATTTTGAACCTCTTGTAACCTTTTTAATATCTGTATAATAATTCCTTAAAAATGGGAAGTAGCTGCAATGAACATTCAACCACCGTGCCTAGTCTGGGACACTAGTCGATTGTTTGCTCTTTAACTTTATAATTTAAAATGGTTTTGATCATTATAAGGTGAAATTAATTATTAATAAAAGAAATCTTTGTGTAACATTGTCTTAGGTTGAAATAAACTTATAGAAGATACATTGTATAAATTGAAATGGTATCTTAGAAACTTAACACTTGAATTATGTTATAGTTTTAAGTAATAAACGACAGCAATTTGTGTATAAATATTTTTGAAAAAAAACCCCATCAAATTTAATTTAATTATTCTATATATATGTTTTTTTTAAAATCTGATATAGCTTTTGACATTTTCTTAATTGTTTAACATTGTTAAAATAAAATTGCCCTACAATATTAAGTACTCAGCAATTTCAAACCACTAAAGAAGGGCAAATTCAAAATTTTAAATAAGAACCCATATTTTTTTATATTTCAGATATGGATTCTTCAAAAAAGGGTGGGATGAATTTTAGTGTCATTAGATACATTTTTTCAAATTATCACATTTAAATTTCTTCAATCTGGTATGTGCAGTGTGCAAAAAAAACAGACCATCCTAAATAACTTTTGATCTAATGATTGGATTTTCATTTTATGACTTAATCCTAATGGCTCAAAATAGTGAAGTGTGAATTAATTAGTGTGGACGGTATATTAAGTTGCTGAATCAGACACAAAAACATACTTTCTCTAAATGAAAATACTTCTTTTTCCTGATGGATTCGGATTTCTAACCCCCAAAATATGGGAGGTAGCCGCAATCTGGGAAATGTTAATTTTCTTATCTATTTCGCTATATGTTGAAAAGTTTTTGAGCGAATTGAAAACATTTTGCAGACAGTTATAAAATTCGTTTATCCAAAGATAATTCCTTGCAAAAAAATAAATTTTAGTAAATGTTTATTATTTTTTATATTTTATTCAGGAATGGTCAAAAACTTTTTGAATTGTAAGGTATACAATATTTTGCATCTTTTTGAATAATGTAATTTTATATATCAAAATTCAAAATTTGAGCAAAATTGATTGCATAGTTCCTGAGAAATCAAATTTTAAGTATCTAACTTTTTTTGAAATTCCATTTCTCAGGAACTATTTGATCGATTTTGCCCAAATTATGTATTATTTTGCTATATAAAATTACATTATTTAAAATAATGCAAAAAATTTTTTGCTTTACATTTCGAATTTCTTTAGACTATTATTTAACACAGGTTATTTTTTGTTGTGCACATTCATACTGTGATGCATTTATTATGTTTGTACTCATTTTATTATTTATCATATTTTTCACCCTTTAACTGATTTGGTACTTAAGCTAATTTGTACTAAAACTTCCGTTTCAAGCGCAGTATCTATATTGAAAAGCTAGCTTCTTATGCCAGAAAGTAAACAGATGCCCTATAGGGTCTGCAGTTCTTTTCAAAAGTATTTGGGTAATTTATTATATATGTATAACTGGATATGATTTAAAAAATGTGTTTATTATTTTTAGACTTGTTATTCATAAAATTTCTGGATCTTCTGGGGGAGACTTGCAAACAGGATTTTCTGAGCCAGAGGAAACCTATAGCTACAGCTTAAGTGAAGTTTTAATGTCAAATTTAGATACAGAATTGTCACCCTTTTGTGCAACGTCTGTCTTGTATGGTTCAAAGTTACAAAAAGATTCAGAGAATCAAGAAGAAATTACAAATTTATCTTTAGAGCATGAGGAGGTGAATAAAAATTCTTTTCGTATGCTTTCAATTTTATTATGTTTAAAATAATAACTTTAATTGCTTTTTATCCATTTTTGATCAAAAATGCAGAAATATAAAATTTCAATAATTTGTTATATTTCTTTTAGTTTATTAGAGAGGAGAAATGATTAATTAAATTCTTCTGTTCTTATTCAAAACTTACAATATCCTTAAGTAGACTATTTCACGAAATTTATGAAACACTTTTACGGTTGTTAAGTAAAATAAAACAGTTTTTAATTTGATAGTTTACTTTTTCATAATTTTTGGTAAGTAATTCTAATTTTGAATTTTTTCCAGAATTCTAAGAATTAACTTGGAAAATATCAAACCTAACATAAAGTAATATCCAAGAATTAAAATGTTCACATAAGTGTGAAATACATAATTGTGTCTTTTTTTCCATTCTACTACAAAAATGAAACGTTTAACTTTAAGCTCATGAATAAAATATTTCATTATTACTAATTCAAGACCGGGGGGGGGGGCAGTCCATGTTTATGAAAGCTTATTCTGAGTAAAAAATGAATTTAAAGGTTTTAGATTGTTTACGTGCTAGCATACAATTGAAATTGTAAAAATAAAAATATAGATACAAGTATTTATTTACATTCCTTCAAAATTTTGAAACAAAACTTACAATTTCCAATGTTGAGAAAAAATACAATTTGAAAACCTTGATGGACAAAGACCGTTTTGTCTTCAATTAATTAATGTCTTCTCCAATTAATACTTCTTTAATAGAACTCCTGTTGTCTTTTTCACTTCACTTTTCTTTGCTTACCTTGTTTACGTATTGACAGGAACCGTTTTTTCCTCTGCAGGGCGCATTTCCAAAGTGTTAGGACTCTTTGGGAGAACCGACTTTTTTTGTTATTGATTTGTCAAAACTTAGTAATCCTCAAAATGAAACAGATGGGGATCTGGTCGGCAGTTTTTTGCAAAATGGACATAAGCTATTCTTCTCCCTCAGTCTTCAATTACTCTCTAATTTCTTTCTTTTGTAAAAAGTAAAAAAAAATTTTTTTTACATGAATACTTGTAAACTTAACAAACAAGATTATCCTTCCAAGTGTTGAACTTTTAGAAAAATTATACCTAACCGTACATTACGCTCCTATTGAATAATATGGGAAAAGCCAGTTCCAGGGAAACTTGCTTACTCCAAAAAGCATTAAAGTGTAATATATTTTTACTTTTTATAATATGATAATTGAACGCACTTTATAAAATACTCTTATGATTTTATTTATCTTATCAAAATCTCTTTTTTTTTCAGGTTATTAAACCTGCTGACAAAGAAACTACAAACAAGTTTATTGACAAGATTATTAGCAAATCTGAATATTTTCTAGAATTTTCCTTACCAACAGTGAATTTAGTTCTGCCAAGCAAAGATTTTTTTGAACTTATTTACAATAGGTAAAACATTTGTGTGTACTTATTCCTAGTAACTATATTTGAAGAACTAACAATTCATTTTCATGTATAAAACTGAAACTTTTTTTTTCATTTGCAGTTTTTAAATGTCGATTGTAAATAAGTAAGAGTCGATAATTAAAAATGATTGTTGCTGTGTTGAATTTTTTCTCCATTTGTAATTTTTTTTAAAAATTATCTTTAATATTTTTTTGGGCAACTAATTTCTATTAATATTATTTTTTTGTAAGTCTTTGTTCTGATAATTGTTTTTGTTTTTTTAAATCATGTCACTTTTTCGTGAAAATAAAGTTATGCAGAAAACTAAGTGTGTTCCAGTATCCGGGAGTAGACTACTCCCATGCCTTCTGAATCGACTAGTTTTTACTGTATTATAAATAAAGTAATTATAAATATTGTAATATTGATTTAATAATTTATACTTTGCCTTTACTTATTGTTTAGGTTAGGTAATGATTTACTCTTATGGCAAAAGACTTCTATAATTCCTTCTGCTCCTTATGATCTCAATGGTTTTAAAGTTCATGTGCCTGGTTTAGATCTCAACTCCCAAATGATGATGAATGATGTTTTCGAAAAGCCACAAACTTTCAAATCTTTTCATAATGGTGAGTTTAAGAAAAACCATTATTAATTTGTAGCAGTCACTTTTTAATTTTAAATTTTTATTTTATTGTTCAGTTATAAAAATTTTAATTTGCAATAACCAAAAAATGCTAGAAGATTGCAGATTCATTTACTAGTAAAATGATAATGATTCTGTAAATTTTCTTCTCTTTTTTTTTCTTTCTCTTTTTATTTTTTTATAAAAAATAAATAATCAAAATCATTATGATTTTTTTCTTAAATGTAAGGTTTTTTGAATATTTTTTTTTCCTTTGAAAATGAATTCATCAAAACAAGAGACTCACATTTTTATTTATTTATTCAAATACTATATAAAAGTAATCACTCATTTTATCATGTGAATCGGGGATACATTTTCTCAAACTATTAATGATAATCTTTATCAATGATTTTCATTGTCGCAAACTGTGGTTTTTCTTCTTTTGACATATTGCACTGTGATTCTATTTATCAGGAGGGTTCTGACTGAAGATAGACAGTACAAAAAATATCAGTGGTAAATAACTGTTATTAACTCATTACAATTATAAGAAATAGAATATTTGCTTATTGTCCCATGTGATTAAAAAGCCTACAAAGAACAGTCTTTCTACTCCAAAGATTATTAATTATAGTGAAAGAAACTAATTAAAAAGTTTATGCTGTAATACTGCGTTTCCCATTTTTTTAAATTAATTTATTTTGAGTTATTAAAATATATTGCTTCTTTTCTTAAATACTAATTTTTTATTCTTTCAATTTATTTTTTAAAATTTATATCAGATTCTGACTCAGATGAGGATGACGCTAACTATTGCTCTGTTCATGAATATTGGCAACGTCAAAAACATAAACATAGAGATGAAGATTCAAATCATCCATTTACTGCTCTCTCTATTTCACTTGTAATTACTAAAGGCATGCTTACCATCACTTCACCTATTCTGGTAAGTTTTCATTTGCAATACTTCTTTTCAAATTATTTATTGTTTGACTCATAACAGTTGAATCACAGGCTTTATAACTGTTCAAGATTCAATAAGGACTTTAAGGAGGGTCCAATCTTGTTATAAATTACATTCATTTCTATATTTATATTTCACCTAAATTATTAATGTGCCTTAATAGTTGGATCACAGACTCTATAGCAGTTTAAGACTCATTAAAGAATTTAAAGAGGGTCGATTCTTGATAAAACTTACATTCATTTCTATTTTCATATTTCACCAAAATTAATAATGTTTATGAATAAAAGGATGTATCATGAAGTTAGTTTTATTCCGAATACAAAATTGCAAGTCAATAAATAAGTTATTACTGCACCAAAAATGTATCATTATAGTATCACAAATGCACCAAAAAAATCTGCAATGAGCCTAAAGGTGAGTTTTGAAACATAAATTTTAATAAATTAATGCTTTACAATTTCATTAAATACATAAATTTTAAATTTTTTTCAAAAGCTTGACTATAAAATAAACTTTAATATTCAAGTCAAATAATGTTAAGTTTAAATTACAAAATAACAAGGAAAAAAAAATCAATGATATTTGACATTTAGGTTTCCTGGAATATTCATAAGAATCTTAATTTTACCTAAAATCTGCATGATAGCCTGACATAAAGATTGGATTAAAAATTGAAAATGGGGGTTTTGGGTAGATTACAGATCTAAATGTTATATATCATTTTAATTTTCTTACTGTTTCTTTATATTCTAAACTCTTTTTTAAAGGAAAGTACTTAAAAACTAAAATTTGTGTTATATTTATGCTTTTAAAAATTTAACTTTATTCCTTCCATCCAAGATATTGAAACTTAGGCCTGTTTTATAAAAGTCCTAAATATTCTTCAATGAGACAAAAATAATATTCCTTAAATGTGGTGTTCACAAAGGCAACTTTTTAAAGAACTGGAATTTTCAATTAGGGTAAAAAAGTTTTATATAATTTGATTGATCTTATTGAATACTATATCACCTAATATTCTGTCTTTTTGTACTAATTAAAATGCTTGTAGATATCATTGAAACAACTGTATGTATGTTTTATAATTATTTATGCTCATTGAGCTCTTTTTTTAAGTGAATTTCAACAGCTAAACGTTTCCAAGCTTCATTTTTCTTATTGCTATTGACTTAGTGGCACCAGTAGTTTCATTAAATGGATGATAAAATGTTCATATTATTAACAAGGAACTCAAAGCTTAATCTCTCATTCAGTATTTCACTAATTACTTAAAATAACTTCATGCTCAACCTAGTAACATTCAGAATTATTTGAATTTTTTTAATACTATTATGAATTTCCTTTAGCCTCAAATTAATGTAATTTGATGGATAAATGTTTAGAATTTTAATTTCTCTATAGACCAAAATGATTGCCCGATTTAAAACTTTGCATTTAATTATTAAAATTCCAAGTAACAGGAAAAGTTCACCAGTATGATTTAGACAATTGTTCAAATTTTTCTTTTCCTGCAATCCAGTAAGTAAATGAACGTGTCAGAATATATTATTTTTATGTTATGCAAGAAATTGCTTGTTACAGTAATAGTTATAATCTATTATTTATTTTCTTTGTTTATGATCAAGATTGAACATTGCACTAATTTCTATTTAATTCAGTTAATTACCTATCATTTACATTTGTATTTTGAAATTAATCTTAGTAAATAATATCTTGCTATTATTTTTTTGTGTATAAATAACCCCTGAAAGTTTACTATTTATTGCTTAACAGATCGTCATCAGGCAACGATGGGAGCAGAATTCATTCAAAAGCTTTTATCAAATAGACCACAAAAAAAGCAGTTAAATGTTTTCATAATATAATTTAAGCAAAACTATAAAATGGAGATGCGAATATTTAAAATGAGATATGCACCAAAATTCAATTCTCTTTAAAAGAAAATTTAGAACAACTAAAATATCTTTTTTAACGAAAAAGTTTTGTAAGCCACACAACCTGATAAATGAATTAATTTATTGATTTAGTTCACTGTCTTTATTTTAAATTGTGTTGTTATCTCTTGTCTGCCTATATCAAAAGATGCATTTGCTTAGACTGTTTTCTGCTTTTTGAATTTAGCAAATCTTGTCTTTTTGTAAATTTTTTAGGACAATGCAAATAAACCATTGCCAGATGTTTGTGGTAAATTACAACTTTATGTTGAAGACAGTCAAATATTTGTTGCTTCATCTTATAAAGGAGATCCAAATGAAGGCTATATTTGTGTATTAGCTGATAAAAGCATATTATATCACAAAGGTAAATTTTAAGCTGTAGTATAATAACAATTTTTGTGATATATTTGTGTTGAACAAATATAAAAATGTTTCTGTCATGTAAAGCGTTCCATTGTTTAATATATTATAAGCCATTGTTTAAATATTTATATTTGCAAATTGAAATTCTTATGATATCAAATCATTGTACATCATAATTCATTTATGATGTCTTTAACCAGATTTTCTTTTATTTGACCTATTTTAAAATGCATACGGTATATTTCTGAATGTAAGCTGAGAATTTTTAGAAAATGTTAGAAAGTTAAAGTGGGGGTTGGCTTATAATAGGATCCAACTTTGTGAAATTGTAGGAGGACACCGCCAACAAAAATACTTCGTTTATTGAGCATTAGTGATAATCAGTAAATATCACAAAACTTACATACGAGACATGAAAATAAATAAAATAAAAGTTGAAAATGGAATACCTGAATATAAAAATTGATAAAGAAACACATAAAAGGGACAATTTGAAAGGAATACTATTAGTTTTTAATCTTCTAATTATGCATTCAGAGGGTCCATGCTTCTTTTACCCACAGTTCAACCATTACTACAAAAGAGGAGATACATTTTCCATACTTCCAAGAGTAGCATGCATTTTTTTAACATCAGCTTATGTACAAGTTTTGAATTTTGGGTGAAATTCCAATTGAAATAAAAATAAAAATATGACCACCGAAGCCGACGTCCTCAGGGGGTACCGGCCTTGGTAGCCATTAAAAACAAAACCATTTCTATTTGAGGGAGAAGCAAATGCTTAAAAAATCTCCCTCAGTACCCCGATGGTTTTGTATAGAGGTCCAGGAAAAACAAGATACATTCAAAATAATTAACAAATTAAGAAAAGAAAATCATTCAAAATCATCAGAAAAACTCACTAAGTCACAGGTCAAGCATCAACTTCGAAAGCAAGTAGAGGAAAAGAAAACACTAAAAACTGAAAAACCAAAGCCCCCTATTATAATGCGCAGAAGAAGTTTAAAATGAAATGGAAAAGGTCAGGAGAAAGAAATACGTAGACAAATTAATAGATTGCTTAACTGGGGCTGCTCAGTTAAGACTAGAATTATATAAAAACTTAGAAACCATCAATCATTTTATCAATTAAAAAATTAACATTACAAAAATTAAAAGGAAAATCATTTTTACTCAAATTATTTAAAAAATTATCCACAGCTTCCCGAAAACTTTCAACATTATTGCAAATTTTCTTGATCCTAACTAATTGTGAAAAAACAAGATTTTTGAATATTTTACTACACAAATTAGCAAATTTGCAATAATGTTGAAAGTTTTCGGGAAGCTGTGGATAATTTTTTAAATAATTTGAGTAAAAATGATTTTCCTTTTAATTTTTGTAATGTTAATTTTTTAATTATTAAAATGATTGATGGTTTCTAAGTTTTTATATAATTTTTTCTTTTAACAGGGCGCAATTCTAGTCTTAACTGAGCAGTCCCAGTTAAGCAATCTATTAATTTGTCTACGTATTTCTTTCTCCTGACCTTTTCCATTTCATTTTAAACTTCTTCTGCGCATTATAATAGGGGGCGTTGGTTTTTCAGTTTTTAGTGTTTTCTTTTCCTCTACTTGCTTTTGAAGTTGATGCTTGACCTGTGACTTAGTGAGTTTTTCTGATGATTTTCTTTTCTTAATTTTTTAATTATTTTGAATGTATCTTGTTTTTCCTAGACCTCTATACAAAACCATCGGGGTACTGAGGGAGATTTTTTAAGCATTTACTTCTCCCTCAAATAGAAATGGTTTTGTTTTTAATGGCTACCGAGGTCGGTACCCCCTGAAGACGTCGGCTTCGGTGGTCATATTTTTATTTTTATTTCATTCGTTTCTTGTATTGATACTTTTTTCTGAAATTTCTGCTGCTTCTTAGCACGTTTTTATTTCAAAGAAGTTTTATCCTTTTCGAATTTAATTATTTGTGTTTTCTTTCTGCATTCCAATTGAAAATCGTACTCTTTGACTTATACACATATGGGTTTATATTTGGAAATATATGTTGCTTTTTAAAAGGACAAAAACTTTTTTAATTTTCTTTATAAAAATTCACATTTCTGGATTTAAAGATAATTTGAATTGTACTTCTATTTCTAGCAATTGATAAAATTTGCTCAAAAGTCCCTGTTGTTGAGCCCTTGTCCAGTTCAAGAAACAGATTTGAACAAATAATATATCAGTCAGAGCCCGGGATGCGCCTTAACTACTATGACAATTATAGTGATATGTTGAAAGTTGTTGTTCATATTGTAAATAATCCTAAACAACTACTGAAAGTGAGTATTATTGTTTCTCATAGGCTGTTTTTTATTACTTATGTATAGAATGCTGTATTTCAATTTTAATTCAATTTAAATTTTTAATAAAAAAAAATTTAAATAAAATTATTTACTTGCATATTTGTTTTTTATTTATAATTCAAAGATTTATTTTATGTAATTAATATTTGAATGTTTTAATGTCTTATGGAATTAAAGAAAACTACTTATGTTTTACTTTTAATAATGAGATATTCTTTTGTTGGAAACTTTTACGATTAAGTTTATCATATTATGCTTTACCCATTAAACCACAACCTTAGGTTTACTAACCTATAGGCAAACTTGAGTTGTCCTTTGAAGTGAGTTATTTATTTATTTATTATTTTTTTTTTGAAGTAAAATTTAATCAGGGCTCGAAAAACCGCCCATCCTTGGCGGTCAAAAATTCCCCGCGAGCAACGAATTTCTCGAATCCGACGTCCGCGCGGACGGCCATTTTCCCATTAATGTTCGTGATACATTTTCAATTTTTGTTATCTTGCAAGAGTCTAGCACTTCACTTCTAAAATGACCCTCTAATCTAGAAATACAGCAACATACTGCCTATGGTGGAATTGATGTTTTCGTTGTCTGGGAGTACTGCAGTGCTTGAAAGGGGCTTCTCAGCAATAAACTTAGAAAAAAACACATTACGTACTGGTTTTAAACAAGTAGCATTATAAACGCAATTATGAACATCTACCTAAATGAAAAACCCCTTTCAGATTTCTGTGCAGAAACCTCTGTAAATCATTGGCTTGATTGTGGAACTGGCAAACCTATAGGCATATATTTGATTCATTTAAAAAACCCAGTACCCTCGGATAAATTAACATTCCAGATAACTTGACCTTTGTCATTTAAATTATTTCATAAAGGAAAGAAATTATTTCATAAAAGAAATACTAGTAACCTAGTATTTCTTTTATTACTGTATAATGTAATCCTAGTAACTACTAATTCATTGTGCAATTTATATAAATGTTTGTAATAAATGAGAGGAAATTATATTTTTATTTATTTAGAAGCGACGGGTTAGTTTCAAAGGAGGACGGGTATATTGTTGGACAAGCCGTCCTCGGGGACGGGTAAAATTTCTGAGTTTTTTCGAGCCCTGATTTAAATGGTTACATTTTTTATACTTTAAACACTTTGAACATTCTTCCTGCTAAGCACATAGTAATTCATAATAAGTAGATTTACTTTATGAATTCTATTATTATTAACATGTATATGTATTCCTTGTCACTCCAAATCGGAGCATAGGGCTTCTATCATAGCTTACCATCTCACTCTATTTGTGGCCAGATATTTTTCCTCTTTCCATGTCTTTCTTATTGTTTTCAATTCATTTACAATAGTCCTGTGTCAAGTATTATTGGGTCCTCCCTTTTTCTATTGCCCTAAGGGTTCCAATCAAAAACTTGTTTTACTTTAAATTTTTCAATTTTACACTATTATTATACATTATTCCTTAAAAAAGTTGAAAACTAGGTGCTGAAGTGAAAAATGTAATAGAGCACAAATCAAGTACAGATCACATTATTTTTCACTTTAATCTACGTAGCACAAAGTATACCCAATCCTTTGGAATTATCAAACCTCTTCTTTACTAACTAGCTTAACTTCTTTACTAACTCTTCTTTAAAACTAGATTATCCTCTTACTTAATCAGTTATTTAATTAATTAATTTTTTAACATTTCAAAAATTAAATTTTTGTTGTATTTTACATAATAATGAATAATTTTAAACATTTTGGTCATGCTCTGCTGCTAATTTCAGGTTATATCTAAAAAAAAAAAAAAAGAGAGAGAGAGAGAGAGAATTAATGAGTTAAATATAAAAGGAGAATAATGTCATTGCTCTAATCTTAAAGTATAATGTTTTTAATATTTCAACTATGCATACAGCAGCTAACTACTTATGTTAGGAATAAATAAAAAATATTTTCATTATCTTTTAGTCTTTTAAAGTGGCTATTGATATATCAGATGCTACGCTCCGTCATTATACATATTCTGTTCCTGAAATTTGGATTAACCAGATGATAGAGTTTTTGAAAGTTGATGATTTTCCTGTAAATGGTCATGTTCCTTCAGCAGTAGTTACTGAATTTCACTTAAACCTCAGTAACTGCTCTATTGATTACAGGTATAGTAATTAATTGCAATATATTAGTTTTTTATAGTATTAAAAATTGTCATCTCTTTTATTAAGCTCTAAAAGCTTTCAAATATTTTTCAGATAATATTTCTAACCTTTACCTTTAACTGCTGTAAAAACTGCTAAAATTACGTAATTTTGTTTAATTTATCCACCAAGATCATACAGCAAAATATTTATTGAAACAAGAGCAATCCAATTTTTTTCCTGAGAAGCTCTAAAAATTTCGAAATATTAATAAGTGTAAATTTTCATAAATTTGATAGTACAGCACTTGATATTGCAACCCTTGTGGTCCAAACGAAAATGGACATTATTACTTAAGATCTTAATATTGAGGCCACATAAAATGAGTACAAATACTTACTTATATTTAATAAATACTTCACTGATTTTGGCAAAAAGATGCTACATTTGAAGTAGAATTATAAAACTGACTAATTAACTGACTAACACAGTTTTTTATGTGAATAAAGTACAAATATTATTAATTTAATGTAGTACATTAAAGGTTGAAAAATATTAAAAAATTTTCATAAAAGACATTTTTTAGTATTCCGCATGAATTTTAGCCATTCATTCAGTGCTTTTTCTAGATTTTGATGTTTTGCATCCTGAGAATGTTGTCAGGAAATTAGAATTATTCTTTATTCTTCTACCTTTAGACATCACAATTTTTGATTATGATCAGCAAAGTGCTTTTTGAGATCTTAAATAATTTAGCTATTTGTGGTTTTGATGTTATTCTGCTATCCACTTTTTTTAAAAATTTAAATTTTTGCACCAAGCATATAGCGTTACACTGATGAAGAGCAGCCATTTTGGATGTATGACATACATCCAAAGATAGGAGCAAAACTAAAGTCAGCAAGAATGCGAAAAATACCACATATTTTAACTCCTAAATAAATCTTGAATATCTTTTTCATAATTCATGTTCATACAATTTCCAAACTATGCTATACATATTCACTCTATTAAATAAAAAAAATCTTGATTCATATTTATGCAATAAATACCAATACGATGCTCAATAAATGTTCTGCATTCAATTCAGCATTTAAAATAACACAAACCCTTTGGCACAATTTTTTATAGCTTTATGTAACAAATCTCCCTAGCATTCATACCTTTCTGCAAGATACTTTTAATAGTAATAGATATATGTTACTAATTTGTAATAACAAAAACACTTTGAGTTTATTAAAAATACTCTTCCTATAGAATGAAACTGTATATATATATTTTAATTATAACTGTAGTAATTATAAAAGAATCAATTTTAATATTATGGGGTGACACTCTCACATTTTAAAAGGGTAAAAAAACCACTAATTTTTTTCCTTATTCTGATTTTGCAATTTGCCATTACATAAATTAAAAAAAAAAAAAAAAATCCTGAAATTTGTGGCATTGACTGCTGAAAAAAAGACCTATGACCAAAACACGTGGATTTACAACGAAATCAAGAGAATAAAATAATTTTCAAAAAGAGGTTACTCATGCAAATGTGGTGGAAACCAATAGCAATAACTGACAAAATATTATAGAATGATTTGTCAAACGTAAATATTTTAACGCGCAATTCGAATTTCCCATCTTGTAAAAAATATATCAGGATTAAAAATTGCATGAAAATCAGTAGCAATTGCTGCTGAAAAAAGGATCTAAACACCTAATAAATTTATGATGCTATTGGCGTAAATTGAGCATGTGAAAAAGTGATTATTTAAATGTGCGATTTGAATTTCATGTGTCATAATATTATGAACTAAACAATGCCAAAATGTTAAAAACCATGTTGAAATCAATATCATTAACTGCTGGAGAGTCGGAAAAAAAGAAAGAAAAAAACAGTAGTATCATCACAATAAAAATGAATAATCCAATGCCCAATTTAAATTTTTTATTAGGTATTATAGAAATACTTTTTTTTGAAGTGAAATTTATTCTTCATAATATTAATAACATTAACTTAAAATTACTTCTAGGCCTTTAAAATTACCATTATGGTCGTGCATTACTATGGAAAATTTCAACATGTCTTGCAATATTTCAGCAACTACTCCATCTTTCTTATTCAGGTAAATTTTATTTATTTAATTTTTTTTACATTGCATCTTATGATCTTACTCAATTAAAGAATTTTTTCTTATTTTTAGAATCATATCAGAAGAATTACGCATTTTTCTCTCTGCTTCAATAACAGCTAAAAAAATTGATTTGAGAAAAAGTAAATATAGTTTCATTTTTTGTTGGTAACCTTGTTAATTGTTATAGTGTCTTAATATTTTGATTTATTTTTAAATATGTTTCATGCTGCCTTACGTAATTGATTATAAGAGATACTTCTTTCATAAATTAGTATTTAGTGATATAAGTTTTTTTAATTATAATTTCTGGTTATTTTGAATACTTAGTCATCTGCAGAATTTGTAACTTTTATGGCATTAATTATATATGTTTTGTAATTTATGTTTAAATAGTTTTTTAATTTTAATCAAATATTCCTAATCTACTTTTTTATGAATGTAATTGGCCTTTATTTCTGCTTATGTATCTACTTTCAGATTCTATCTAATTCTATTTATTCTGTATCCTATTCTATCTAATTCTGTATCTAATTCCAGATTATGTCTGTGTTGTTGATACTGGCTTGATTGATGTTTCATTCAGGACTACTGTTAATGAGAAAGTAATATAAAACAGAATTATCAAATGTATTATTTATTTTTAAACCTAATCTTATTGGCATTTACTATATTTGTTTATTACAGGATGAACCTAAATTAGAACTGTGTGCATCCAATAATATTATCCATATCAGAACGTGTTCGGATTCATTTAAAGCTTTATTAGATTTAATCACATACCTCAGCATCAATGGAGATATGGAACCTGTTGAACCAGAAGTATGTTCATATGCTATATTCTTTTTTTTTACAACTATTAACTATTTCAGGGACTGTGTACATACCCAGGGACCATGCTCATTATAGAAACATGAGATCATTCTCTTTGAGGACTAACTCAGACTAATTAAGAGGTTTTCATTTATTAAGCACAAATGTTAATTATTTGCTAGTTTAATTTTAAAGCCTCCTGCTGAAGCACTTGCTTTAGAGAGTCAAAAATTTTTAGTACAGAGTAAGCGAACGATTCCACAGTCGTTTTCTTTGCTAAATATCTCTAAAATAGCAGATCTTTTATTTGACATTGTGAAAAAATGAAACGCAATACATAAATTAAGGGATATATTATAAAATATTTTGTAATTAAAGTAGTAAACAACTTAAAAAATTAATTAGTCAATTTCGATTCTATGATGCAATAACTTTGTTCAAGTTTTTTATAAATATAATTTAATAAATCTTTACGAAGTTCATTATGGTGTTTATTGAAGATTTTAAAAACAACTTTTCTCTTTAAGTTAACCAGTTACTAAGTACTTTACTTAGTTAACATCATTTGATTGAAATATAAATTGTTGTTTTAAGAACAGAATTTATGAATAAATCTGAATAATGCATTTATCAATCAAAAATTTCTTTAATAGTTTAGCAAAGAAACTTGATAATAATTAAAACTTTTCCTCTTCCACACTGCTTAAAAATCATTATTTTGTTTAGTCCTTTAATAAAACAAAGATAATTTCTTATTGTTGTTATTTTTTTAAAAGAAGTTATTTCAAATCTTGTTAGTAAATTGTATGTGGTGAATATTAAATTATTATTTTGTTACAGGAAGAAAAAGCTCCAAAAAGCTACTCAAGTACTCCTGTTGATTCGAAAAATCTAAATCTTCTTGTTGCAGAGGCCATGAAAGATTGTTCAGTAGATCAAGCATCAAGTAATTTTTAAACTTATATACTCCTTTTGCAATTGCATATAATATCTGTTAAATAGTTTTAAAAACTTAATCATAAGTCAACATTTTTCCTCACACTGGTTTCAATTAAAAGCAGGGGTAAAAAATCATTCTCTTAGTGCTTTTCTGAAAAGTAAATTTTTCCTCACACTAGTCTCAATTAAAAGTGGGTGGGAGTGGAACATTTTTTAAGTGTTTACTGAAAAGCGTAGGATTGGTTTTTTGGAAGGGATGAGAGGTAGATTTTTATCACTGTTATAGATATCCGTTTTAACACCAGAAAGATGACAGGCCAATTTTGCCCTTCTCGTATTTTTATTGCTTTGTAATTTAAAAAAAAATAACATGCTGAAAGTATCAAGTATTTCCGACTTTTCATAATTTGATCCATTTTGAGTACCTATTTAATCATTCATGTATTAGCTTTATAGAAATGTATATGTAAAACCTTATACCTAGAATGACCGTAGGGGCCAGAGTAGCCGTATGATATTTTGGCATGTACTTCATATTCCCAGATAGGTTTGGGAATAAGATACCCTTCTTAGGTTATCTTATCCTTCTTACCCGTCTTAGGTTAGGTACCAAAGTTTCATTAAAAAAGAAGTATTTCCATATATCTTCAACTTATATAGAGATAAGAAAACTCAATTATCTAAGAAACTAATGTATAAGTATAATTGAAAAGTCAGTGTTCCATTTAATCAAATATTTTCGTTAATCAAAACTATTAAAATATCATAGAATTTTGATGATTTATTCTCTGTTATATTACTCCTTAAACTAATTATGATTATATTGTAAGATTTTGGATGTCTAATTGATATATTTACAAACAGAAAATGGCTGGACTAGCTCCTACAAACAATCTAAAAAATAGAAAAAAAATAAAAGACTTATCAAAATCTGTTAAATTACTTTTGAGAAAAGTTAGTCTGAGAATATCAAAAATCACATGAAACTTTATGAAGCTCTTTTCACATGCTTCTGGTTTTATCTAGGAATCCACCAAGCTGTGGTGAAAAATTAAGTTTTCCTTGTTAATGATATGTCAGGTTTTGGTAGCAATTATTTATTTTCATTTATGCATTAATATTTGACCCCTCAATGTGTATATTTTCTTTTCATTTTTGACTAAAATTAAACACAATGGCATATTTTATACATAAGATTAGAAAATGAGCATCCAACAATTTTAATCGAATAAAGTTTTACTAATTCTCAACAAATCATGTTTTCCTATGTTGTCTTACCAAATTGGTATTCTCAGACTTTTCTAAAGAAATCTTTACTTTAATATTTATTGCTGAATTAATTATAATATATTCTGTTGCTTTAATCATTTTCAAAAAGTGCTAATTTTGAAACCCCCTCTTTTTTTATTTTATTTGAAATTGTTTGTAGTGGCATGTGTTAAGAGTAGGACTGGGCGTTATAAGAAATTTTATATCCTGATGCATCGTCAGTTTTGCATCGCGATATAGTATTTTTGAAATTCATTTACTGGTAAGGCGCAGAAAGTCGGATTTCTATCAAAACTTCATACTCAGATTGATTTAAATCAATTTATGAATTTGATGTATATGTTTTGCTTAAGAAAGATATTAATGTTATATTTTCTAAAAATGATCGCGCAAATAACGAAAGATTTCTTAGTTTAAAAATAAAAAATAAATAAAATTGAAATTTATCAATATATTTATCTAACAATGTAGAAAGAAAATTTAAAATATAAGTTCGTTGAAAATTATTTGTATGCTTAAAACAAAGTGCTAAATAAATTAAACAAAAAAAAAAACACTTTTAAAACAACACTATTTTTTATCATTATTTCACATAAATAATAAAGTTAAATTGAATAATTACCGAATTCTGAACGAAAAAACAAAGTAAGGTTTAATTTTTTAAAAATTAAAACGAAAGAATTATGATATTCGATAATATATTCAACTGACAATATTGAAAGAAAATTTAAAAACACGATTATACTCTGTAATAAAACGAAGTGCTAAATGATTTTAAAAAAAGAAGTCGCAATCGCAAACTTACTAATTTTTTTGAATAAACAAAGTTGATTGACTTATGTCCAAATCCAAAAGAGGAAAAATAAGTTTTTTTATAATTTTATTTATAAAAATGAAAACAACTAAAGATTTATAAATTTAAAATCAGTAATAAAAACCCATTAAATTATTATTTTATCCAAAAAGTTTTTAATAAATTAAAATAAAGTAAAAAAAACCTGATGAAAATCTTTGGATCTCTTCAAGAGAATAACATAAGGAGAATTCTTTACAACCACGAAATTTACAAAAAATATGACAAATTCGGTGGGACCGACATTGTAAGAACTAATAAAGCATCAAGCATTAGGTGGCTGGGCCACCTCTTCAGAAATTCTGATGCCGTCCCTGCCAAAAAAGTGACTTTTTCCGCAATTGAAGAGACGAGACGTAGGGGACGACCACCTACAAGATGGATAGACGACGTTGAAAAGGACCTCAAGCTATTGGGAGTCAACCGATGGCGGGCTGTCGCACCGGACAGGGCCAGATGGAGGAAAATCTGCGAGTCAGCCTTGGCATGTGAAAGGCTGTTGCGCTTATGAAGAAGAAGAAAAAATAGCCTAGCAAATTTAATTACTTTTTAATTTAATTTTTTGTGGGCATCTTAAATTAGATTTCCGTTTGTAATAAATTCAATAATCTAAAATAATACTTAAACATATAATATCAAAATTAATTTTCACATTTAAATATAAAAAAGAAAGTTTTGTTTCAAAAAAAATTTTTACCTAATTAATTAATAATTCATAATTAATTAATAATTCTTTATATATTCTTTTCAATAATAGATTTCGTTCAGAACAAGGTAACGACGGCTATCACAAAGTCAGTCCCACTGAAAATAATCTACAAGAAACGATATCAACTCGCGACAAAGAAGGGAAAAAAACTAAGAGGTGCGGAAACGAACATGCGAGATCACGATGTATGTTCTCAAAACTGATTCTGATTCTACCGCTCATCAATCAAGGCGGTTTCAATATAACAATATGTACATCGTCTTCCCCAGCGCGAGTTAGCATCGGAACGTAATAGATCATTGCGTGTCTTGTATCGTATATCACTATATCGCTCGTCTTCTTTGCTCGATGGCTTAAATCAGATTTCTGATTCATCGCCTGGAACGAAAGTCACTGTATCGGCCTTCCGATACAGGCGTTAAATCGATATGTCGCGATATATCGATTTATAGCCCAGTCCTAGTTAAGAGTCCACATTTTATTTAAATTTTGCAATTGCGATTACCCCATTGTATTAAAAGCTCACAAAATTTAGTGCAAGTTACTTTGGATCTTTTTTTTATTTTTTACTTTAACTATTTGTATATTCCACTGCTAAAAAATGTGGTTGAAAAATGAAAAATCCATAGCTAGTCTATGAGCAACTTTTACCCCATGGCTGGGGGGGAAAAAAGATTGCTTTGCCTTCAAAAATTTTCAAAATTAAAAGATTAAAAAATTCTTCTTTTTTTCAAAACTTATAAATTCCAAAGATTTAACTTTTTGAAAATTTAGATTGTCTTCGCATTTTTCATTTTTTTTTTTTTTTTTTGAAAAGCTAATGATTTAATATTTTCTAAATAATCAAATTATAGCTAAGTGAAATATATATAACGAGTAGTTTAGGATTTAATCAAATTCTTATTATATATCTGTTTCTATTTAGCTAGAACTTAAATCTATAACGCACATTCCTTCCTTCATGAGAATAGCAGCTCTTTGCAGGCCTTTACTCCCCTAACAACACACCCTACAATGCGTAGTTCTGAATAATAATTAATTTTCAAGAACATTTTCTTGCCATTTTTACTGCATGTAGGGCTGCAGATGGCTAAGCTTTTTCCAAAATATTTTTTAGAGTGGTAGACAATCAGAAACTAAAGATTCTAGAATTTGGGTTATTTTTGTTAACATTTTAAAAGCCTCATCTTGAAAGAAATTGTAGAATGTGACATTTTATATAAACTTTTGAATCATTCATATAGAATAGTGTGGAAAATAACTTTGAATCAAATTTATTTAAGGAATCATACATCAATAAAATAAAATTTGCTACCACTAGAAAAAAGTTTCCCTTAAAGTGTTGAAAATTGACAGCTTTGTTCAAAGCACAGAATTTCATTCTGAAATTAAATACCGAGAAATTTAATGTAAAATTTGAAATCTCACTTTCTTGAATTAACATTTTCTGGATTGTTGGGAATGACAATCAATGTTAATATTTACTCTCAACTTATTTCTCATAATTTTTCATTTTATGTTTTTCCATCTCTTTAAAGTTTAACATTGTTAACTTTTAAAGTTTAACATTGTTGTGTTTATTTACTTTTGTCACCGTTATGTTTATCAAAACAGTTGAAAGAACTTAATATTTTAAAGAGCTTTATTTTAGACAATGCTCACACAAACAAATGAAACTTTGCTCAAATTGCTAAGATTCTTTTTAAATGATAATCTCCTGTTAAATTTAACTATTAAATACTTATTTTGAAATTTCTTTCTCCTTTTGTAATGCTGCTCAGATGCTGAAATGAGAAGTAATTTTTTTCTGTTTTTGTAATTATGAATGTGTGCATTATACTAATTATTGTTGTGGTTGATTAAAGATTAAATCAAAAAATTAAATAAAATTAAATTAATTTATTGATTAAATCAAAAAATCACTATATAATTGTTGTTATAATCAGAACACAGTAAATGGTAGGACTTTTTTTTCTGTTTAGATAATTATTTAAAAATAAGATGATTTGTAGTAGAATAACTGACCTTATTTCTTCTATTTTGTTCTATTTCTTCAATTTTATATTTCCAGTCCCTATGTTCCCTATTTCCAGTCCCTATGCATGTTGAAATGTTGCAAAGTGTTCAGACATGTTACGTCAAACTGTAGTTATACAAGATTTCAGATAAGTTACTTGACAACAGGAAATTTTTTTTTAAAAAAAAAACGTAATTTTTAAGCTATGCCCATCTCATTGTTGAAGTTGATATTTTCAAATAACAGCTTAAATAAAACTAATTTCTGCATTTAGGTGATGACAAATCCCAATTGTTTATACAAAAACTTTTAAATTCTCTAAAAATTAACCTGTAATTTAGATTCTTGTGTATTTTTTTTAATATGGATGGCACTGTATAATTATTTTAAAGAAATTTTTAAATAATTGGTTACCCCCCCCCAAAAAAAAAAAAGACTTGCAAGAAATGAAACTATGGTTATATTTCTGGACAATCAATTTTTTTTTTAGATTTTCAAGCACATACTTTCTTTTAATTATTGAATTTATTTGTTTTTTGTTGGGAAAATTAAAAAAAAAATTGAAATTATCACTAAGTTACCCTATGCTTAAAAGATTAAGTGGAAGTCACTCTTAGCAGCTTAAAATATGTTTTTAAGAATATGCACACAAATAATTTAACTTAGTTTCCAAGAAATGTATGAAAGAATATTTTATATAAATGTCGGTTCAAAATTCTTTCCTGTGTTGTTTTAAAATTCTTTTAAGGATTAGCCTAAAAACAATTGCATAGCTACCAACATCTGTACTTTTTAACTCTTTCATCACAAAGGATGAGGTAACTCGTCTTCCAGGAATATTTGCTGTGCGCTAGAGATGAGATAACTCTTCCTCTGTGCAAAGTTTTTCAACATTATAGTAGCGTTTCCAGCGACTTATTTACCAACATTTAGTGTAGATTATTATTTTCATTTTATTATTTTTATGTCTGTAAACACAAAGTGAGAATTGTTACTGATAGCAATTGGTTATTATTTTTTAAAGTTAAATAAACATGTTTTAAAGAAATTTATGTTTTGTTTTAATTCTAGTGCAGAAGGTGAAACAAAGGAGCTTTTTCAATGTGATGAAAGTGTTAAGGAATGTTTTTCTTAATGGGGGCAAAACTAAAATTGCATTAATAATTAAAAACAGAATTATTTTAAAATTTTGTCAGCTCTTAAGATCCTTCAACTATTGCTAAGCATTTAATGTATGTGCTTAAATTGTTTATAGATAATGGTGGGCAAACTCAATTAAGTTTATAAAAATAAGGATAAAATATTAGAGCTATAGCTTTTCCACCTCTTTAAATATATGAATAAAATCTTTTGGAAAAACTTAAAGAGTTGGCATCTATAAAATTGTTTAAAGAAAACTAACTTTTAACAGGGTTCCCACGGGTCAGGGAGAACAGGAAAAACCTGGAATTGTCAGGGAATTTTATTTCAACTCCGAAAATCAGGGAATAGTCAGGAAAAATTGCAATTTTCTTACAAAAACCTGGAAAATTCCTTCATTATACCTGGAAAAAAACCAGTCTTAAAATTGTTAGTAACAATACTTAGTTATTGAGATTCGAGTTAAATAATTCTAACATCTATTACAGTTATTTGTTGAAAAAATTTTGCATTTTAGACATACTGAAATGCTTCCTTCCTCATATAATTTTACAAAAAAAATCTAATACTTGGCATAGCAAATAAAGGAATCCAAATTTTCTGATGAAAAATTTTGTAGTATAGATAAAATATGGTAGTATGGATTTTCATTAAAATTTACCTGGAATACCTGGAAAAGTCAGGGAATTTTTTTTTCTGAAATTGAGATGGAACCCTGTTTTAATTCTGACCTTGATTTTTCAAATTTTTTAGATAGTCACTATGGGTCATTATTAATTGAATTGTACTTTGATAATAATTTAAATCGGTCATTTTTTCACGAGGTATTAAATTCAGCAATATTGTAAAAATAAGAAGAAAGTTATAATCCTTTTTAATTGAAAGTTTATATATATATTTGTTAGGCTTTGAAAGCATTAACACTGTAAATTCATAGTGCGGCCCGTGCTTATTGAAAATGATACAGGAACATGGAGAAATATTAGAATTTTATTAAAGTAAGGGCCGGAGCCCCAAAAATGAGAACATTACATGCTAGTAGATAGATAGAGAAGAGCCAATTGACCTTGGAAAAAGGCTTTTTATATCTTTCTGGACAATATATTTAAATATTAATAGGTCTTAGTAATGTGGGACTGATCAATTTCCCAAGTTACTAAAGACACATCATCCCATTTTCTGAGATAATTAGATCAATATTACTTTCTTTGAGGGAAAAATTTCAAATGATTGCACGTTAAATACAAGCTCTATTTATGGATTATATTTAATATATAATTTTTTTAACATTATATATATATATATATATATATATATACAGTGGTGGCCAAAAGTGTGGACACTTTTTGAAAGTTTCATGTTTTTCAACTTTGTGTGCTTGTAGAATATATTAATTTTCACTTAAATACAAACGTTTATATATCAAATTGAAGGTAATTTAATGTAGAATTTAATAATAAATACAGTATTACAATATCTGTATTACAAGAAAAGTTATGCAATTAATAGTAGTAAGATCTCTCTTAGATTTGCATTTTTTTAAAGTGATACTTACACAATCAATACTTAGTAGGATAAACCTTAATTTTTAAGACAGCTTCACAGCGTCTTTTCAACAAGTGAATGAGTGTTTGGAGTTCATCTTTCGTAATCACATGGTGCCAAGAATCAATTATAGCTTCAATAAGTTGTCTTTTATTGGATGGACGTTTTTTTCGTACAAGAATTTTCAAACGTCGCCACAAATTTTCAATTGGATTGAGATCAGGGCTGTTTCCTGGCCATGGTAATATATCTAT